TTTAAGTAGTCTGCTGACATTTGCTTGTCTTCCTCCCCAGCCCCTGCATGCGCTGGGCGCAGTTCCAGCGCGCTGGCGCAGGCGTCGTTCGGCGTTGCAAGTCGTGGGGTTTCAGATTGCGGCCGCCACTACTAGTAATCTTACTGACTTGAAGCCAACGTGAATTCATTAGCTTGTGTCCTTTGCCTTACAAGTATTGCATTGAAGGCATTGTTGCGGCAATCGCAATTGAAAGCATTTGTGCGGACTAATACATCCTGGATCTGCCAGGTCAACTAACCTCAAGCAGTGCCCAGCCATACATGATCTCTTGAATTGTTGCTGATACGGCCTGTAGCCGAGGATTGCTTGGGATGGCAAGCCGTCGGGTGCTCCAATTGGTGGCTCGAGCTGGCAAGCCCGCTCGAGCTCTCCTCGTGGGCCATGAACAGACAGTCAGGTTGCTTCCCGAACAATGTGCTGAATGCAGCAGAGGGATCCGGTTGCTGCAGACACAAGCAGGGCTGCTAGAGGGGGCCCATGCAAGTGTGGCACGGTGAGGGCCTGCTGCAGAACCACATTGCAAGAGGTGCTTAAGATCTATGAATGTGTGCATGAGTTGAGCATGCAATGGTTCCGCGATGGTGACAAACCAATTGCTTTCACCGACACAGTGGTGCAGCGGACATGGGATCACATTTTGCAATCCAGTTGCTGTGGCTGACACACGGTCTATTTCTTGGCCCAAATTGGACCAGGTTGGGCGTTGTCAGTAGCAGCTGTAGCATTGCACAACCGAGCCAGGCCTCCAGCGCTCTGGGCAGCCAAAACCTGGGAGTGCGGCTTTTCTCGGCAGCCGCGGACTGTGAGTACAATAGCTGTCTTTGCCTTGGATTTGAAAGTTGAAGTGGCTGCATCACTGTTGCACGGAAACACTTCTCTCGAAGCTCATGCGTCTTTGCTCGTCTGCAGCCTATGAGTTGTGGAATTGTCTTACGTGATCTTCCTGCCCTGCACTCTCAGTAGCTCTTGCCAGAAGCTCCTCCTTTTTGCGCAGATCCCCCACATGAACAGATCACAATGCCGTCGCTGTCACCTACGATGGAGAAAGTGAGCGCTTGCACCCTCCGTTTTACAGTTTACCGATACGCTTCCTTTACAGACCTTCAAATACATCAAATACGTCCAGACATGATCTCAAATGAAGTCGGACTAGCCCTTGGTTCTCAAATTTCGCAAAGTGAGAGGCTGCAATTTTCATTGGGGCCAACACAATGAACTGGCTCGTTTTTTGCCACAGGGCAACATTGCTACATGGAAGGCAAAGGTTGGGGATCAGCTGGCTCCCGGGGACGTACTCTGTGATATCGAGACGGTAAGAGCCGCTGGCAAACGAGTGCGCCCGTGAAGACTTGCAAGATAACCATCGTTCACACTCTCTTATATGGAAGGCAAGCCCGTACTTCACATGGCTCAAGTAGAAGAGGAAAGGCAGGTTGGGTCCGCAATCCTGCTGAGTGTTGCATCTGAATTCTGGCTACCAGGTTTCTCTTCCAGGCTCCTCAGATCTGCTACAGTGTCCCTGATCAGAGCAAGCCTCATCTGGTAGGCAGAAATCATTTTGTGCAAGCCCGGCCACTGATGATCTGCTGAGAGGAAGGGCTTGCAAGGACATCACAAGATGCAGGCTGCACCCAGCATTCCAATTGCCGCTGGCCTGAGTCAGGCGCTGGGAGGCCCTTGTTGACGCCCCTCTGCTGCTTCTGTGTGTGTGGCCAGGATAAGGCAACCCTGGACATGGAGGTACAGGAGGAGGGCTACCTTGCCAAGATCCTGATGCCAGAGGGGGCCAAAGACGTGCCCGTTGGACAGGTAGGCACACACCGCACAGAGAAACATTGGCTGAACGAGGCATGCTACGGACCGGATGACGCTAAGAGAGATGTGAAAGCGGAGTCAGGAGTTGATCGTTGTTGAGATCTACAACGTGCACTTTCGGTCCTGCAGAACAACGCTGTTGCGTGCTGCGAACTTGGAGTGAATTCAACCTCGACGCGAAACCCAAACTTTGCCTTTTCTTAGCCACACATGTTCACAGATCTGCTCTGCAGAATCTGCACCAGTAGGAAGCTTATCTGACCGCGTTTGTTTCATATGTGCAGCCGATTGCCATATTGGTAGAGGACAAGGCCGACATCGACAAGTTTGCCGACTTTGAGGCAGGGGCCGCCCCGGCCCCCACCAAAAGCGAGTCCAAAGAGGAGGCAGAGCCCAAAGAAGAGGCGGCCTCACCGCCACCCCCTCCCCCAAAGGAGTCTGCTCCGGCCCCGCCCAAGAAGGAGGCTCCCAAGCCACCCAAGCAGGAAACGCAGAAATCAGCGCCGCCTGCAAAGGGCAGCGAGGGCCGGGTGCTGGCCAGCCCCGCGGCGCGGAAACTGGCCTCCGAGAAGGGGGTAAGCCACTTCTACACTCCTTTGCATTTCCGGGAGTGGCACGGGATACGCCCGCTCATGCATAGGCCTTTTCTATGGTGTCATGGAGGAGGGTTGATTGCGAGGTGGTTTGCTATTGGTGCGAATGTATCATCTAAAACTGCCTCTGAGTCCGTTGTCCCTCCGTGTGCAGATCGATCTCTCCCAGGTGAAGGGCACAGGGCTGGACGGAGTCATTGTGCGCGCAGATGTGGAGGAGTTCCAGGGTGAGCAGTGCGCCCACGCCGCATCGTCTCGCCGTGGGTTTGCTACGTTCGGACGAGTATCCAGCCAAGGTTACGCAGCACAGGCTTGGCTTATATCGCTGGTAGAGTCAGGAGTTCCACTTCCGATTCGGAGCTTTTTCTGCGTGCTGACCCGTGCTCCCTTTGGATTCTATTCAGCACCAGAACCGTCGAAGACTGCTCCTTCGGCGGCTCCAGCAGCGGCCGCCGCGCCCGGAGCGGCGCCGCCCCTCGAGTCGATCGACTACACCGACATTTCCAACTCGCAGATTCGCAAGGTAGGGCCTGGCCGGGCAGACCTTGTCAAAAAGTCGTCTCCCGAAAGTTGTCCAGCCGTGAGCTCACGAAGTCGAACAACCGCACTCCTCGCAGCAGTTTTCGCAAGAAGTAATGTTGCCTTCGTCTTCCTTGTTGTGCTGCTGTATCCGGGATCTGGTTTCCGCTGGATGGTGCTATCTCATCAACGGTCTATGCATCCTTGTGGCCTGCAGATCACGGCCTCCCGGCTGCTGCAGTCCAAGCAGACCATCCCGCACTACTACCTCTCCAGCGAAGTCCGAGTAGACAAGCTCCTCGAGTGAGGCCGCGCCCGAGCCGCGTCAAGGATCGACATGCGACTTCGCGTCGACCCTGGCAGTCAAGAGAAATCGGCTTATTGCCAAGCGGCTGCTGTACTTGATTGTGTGGTTGCCAAAAGCTGCACTCGTGTCTACCCTGACTACCTTCCTTCCTTGCCTTGGGTCTGCTTTTGACTGACGAAGAACCCACGATGTGATGCAGGCTGCGTGCCAAGCTAAACAAAGCGCAGGAAGCCACTGGCGGCAAGAAGATTTCTTTGAACGATTTTGTTATCAAGGTCAGGAAGCTCACCTCACAGTCTTTGGGCATGTTTTGGCTGTATCAACAGCATGCGCTTAGCACGTCATGCGTCTGTCGGGAAATCCCTACTCTTGACCTTCAGTCACTGAGAAAGCACAACTCCGTGTTGCTACCCTTTGCGATCTTCGTGACAGTCTATTGCGACTTTTGCAAAACGGGTTCTGTGGGTGGAGCTGCCCCCGCGTTCTGACCGCGCGATTTGGTGGGTGCAGGCGGCCGCGCTGGCTATGAAGAAGCACCCCGGCGTCAACTCATCGTGGACGGACGACTTCATCCGGCAGTACAAGAATGTCGACATCAGCGTAGCGGTGCAGACAGACAACGGCCTTATGGTGCCCGTCGTCAAGGTCAGCCACCTGTCCCGAGCTCCCACGCGCCAAATGGTTTCTTAGTAAAATTGCGAAATGTGCTACCGCAAAACCGGGATAAAATCGCGCTTCCTCCGTTTACCCCAGCATCGAGATTTTTGAGGTGTTCGATGTCAATCAGGGGGCGGGATTTTGAGCTGAGCTTTCTTTTTCTTGGTGCAGGATGCCGATAAGAAGGGACTGGGGACCATCTCCGAAAACGTCAAGGTCCTGGCCGAGCAGGCGCGCGCCAACAAGCTCGCTCCGTCCGAGTTCCAGGTGCGACCTATTCTGTCAATGGTTACCTGCCAGAGGGGGACTGAGCGCATGGTTCTTTAGGCGTCCTGTCTGTCGGCTGCGTGCTGCTCTGCCTTTTGCTTGGCTTCGCTGTTGAGAGCCAGCAGTAGCAGGGAAGGGTCCTGCAGTCAGACGGTCAAGACAGCGAGGTATCTTGTTTGTTGCCAGCTGGGTGGTGCCTCACCGCTGTTCCGTGTTGTTGCATGCAGGGCGGCACGTTCACCATCTCCAACCTGGGCATGTACGGCATCAAGCAGTTCTGCGCCATCATCAACCCACCGCAGGCGGCCATCCTGGCAGTGGGAACAAGTGAGCCTCGGCAAGCTGGGGATGGAAACGCCTGTGCAGTCGAGAAATAGGTTTTAACGATCATGCTTGTTTCTTTGAGGGCTGTCGTCCGGGCCCAAGGACGTAGACCACTCCTCCGCGGATCAGATTGGTTTATTACCAACAACAAGTACTGGATTCCTTCAAGTGCTCTGTGCAGCTTGTCTGATGACCCGCTGGGTCAGTCTTGATCGAATGTCTGACTTGCTTGCTGCAGCGGAAAAGCGGGTACTGCCCCCGGGCCCGGCTGAGGAGACCTTTGGCACCGGGACATACATGACGGTGACGCTCAGCTGTGATCATAGAATCATTGATGGTGAGCGCACAGTCCGCCCTAGCTCCACTGCTCTTGGCTCCTCCTCGCCCCTCCTCCTCCGGGGTTTGAATGGATCGATCTGGACAGCCACGAATTGAGACTTCACTAGATTGCGACCAAACGGGTAGGTAGCCAATGGAGATTCATTGATACTCTGTTGGTTCCATTTGCTACGTATCTTGCAGCAATTGATCAGAGTCGTATGTTTTGTGCAGGTGCCATGGGCGCGGAGTGGATGGGGTCTTTCAAGGGCTACATGGAAGACCCGATCACCATGATCTTGTAGTAACCTCTTTACAAAATGTAGTCCGAGGTTCTTGATCCTGATAACGGCTTGAGTCCATTCGTGCAATCATTGTTTGTCGAGCTCGCGACGGGACTAGCAGTCATATACCGGTTCCCTTCTGGGTAGCATAACTCACTCAAGGCGTTTCACTGGCTGCAGAATTGGATGTCTATCTCATCGATGCACCACTGTATGAGCCGTGGCTTTGTGCTTCACAGGATGCGCCGCTTTGGCGCCTTGTTGCAAAAGCATGAATTTCATTAGCCACTCAAACGTTCATGCGCTCCCTATCATCGGATTAGTCCTGAAGATCGTTTGAGTGAGAAAACAGCTGACTGCGGAGAAGCGAAAGACTCATCACGCGAAACACCCCGACGGCATTCCTAACTAGACTGATCAGACTTGACTACTGTCTGTACGTCGGCCGCCAGCAGGAGGTCTTCCTCGCCGTTCGTTGCTTGACAAGATCCAGAACGGACGGCCGAGACCGAGTTGCAATCTCATGCTGACAATTGTGAGCCACTAGTTCGCGAATGAGCTTCTGAGCACTGCAGATCAGGATTCACTTCCTCGTTCAGCAAGCTAGGCAGTGAAGCGCTTGCCCTGTGCACCCAGATCGTAAGAATGGCGTCCGCCACTGCTCTTCGCTTGAGCTCGCCTGCTGCCCTTGCGGGAAGGTCATGTGGAGCCTGCTCCGCGCAGGCCCCCTCTGCCTCAGCGACCACCCCCCTCTTCCTTTCTCGTGCTGCGAAGCGGGTGCATAACCAGAGCGGATCTAACTTCGCTGGAACCACCGCTGCATTCCAAGGCAACAGCCCGATTAGCAGCGGCAGACAGCTTAAGAAGATAGTCGCCCAGGCAGTCGCAGCAGTCCCTGCGGCTAAAGCCACCCAGAAGAAGTCCAATGGTTATGAAATCGTGACATTGACTGGCTGGTTGCTGAGGCAGGAGCAGGATGGGGTCATTGATGGCGAGCTTACTATTGTGCTGAACTCCATCTCCCTGGCATGCAAGCAGATCGCTTCCCTGGTGCAGAGGGCAGGCATCTCCAACTTGACGGGGCTGGCTGGGGCCGCCAATGTGCAGGGAGAGGACCAGAAGAAGCTGGATGTTGTGTCCAACGATGTGAGCAATGCAATGTACACTTGAGTAGAGTAAGGGATCAGACTCAGTCAAGATGAATCGAGAGCAATGCAGGGTTTGTTGCCTAGATAGACGAATGCAGCCAGAGTCCAGGTCAATGAACCTGTAGATCTTTTTCATTTTGGGTGCAAGACTTAGATGATGTACATTTGAAAGGCATGTGGAGTATGTCGGCAAGCGAGGCGTGACCAACCGCATTCTAGAAAGAGGTGCATTGCACAGAATGCACATCCTGTTCATTCTGTCGGTGTGGCAGGTCGGCCGCTTCATCAACCCTGTCCTTCTTGCCGGCAGGTTTTCTCAAACTGCCTGCGCTCTAGCGGACGGACCGGCATCATTGCCTCAGAGGAGGAGGACACCCCGGTTGCAGTAGAAGAGAGCTACTCAGGCCACTACACGGTAGTCTTTGACCCTCTGGACGGTTCCTCCAACATCGACGCCGCAGTCTCCACCGGTTCCATCTTTGGAATTTACAAGCCCGACGAGAACTGTATGATCAACTTTGAGGAGGACGAGGTGAGTTGGGCTGACCAGGGACACACCGTATGCTTTTACAATGTGGGCCGCAATTGAGATGGTGAAGATTGCAAAGAGATCAAAGATTAGTTCGGAACGCCAAGTCGTCTACAGGTTCAACTACACTTTGAACCTCCTGGGACTTGCGATTCACCGCTCTCATGGAGAAACACAAACAATTTATGAGGAGCACTTCATCTTTTATGCAGGCGAGGGTTTCGGTGGCCACTTGAGCGTATGCCTAATTTATCAGTTCAAATGTGGCACTGGTGCAGGAAGCTTCAATGTTAAAAAAGCCACGTCTTGGATTTTGGAGCTCTGAGCGCCCTGCCTCTCCTCTGCAGTTGACCGCCCAGGAGGCGAAGTGCGTGACAGCGGTGTGCCAGCCCGGCGAGAATCTTCTTTCGTCCGGATACTGCATGTACTCCAGCTCTGTTATTTTCGTGTTGTCCGTGGGCACTGGTGTCTATGGCTTTACGCTGGACCCCCTGATCGGCGAGTTTGTGTTGACACACGACAAGATTCAGATTCCCAAGTCGGGCAAAATCTACTCCTTCAACGAGGGCAACTACCAGCTGTGGGACGACAAGCTCAAGAGGTGAGTTTCAAAGGTGCTCGTCTGATGACTGAAGAACGGATGTAACTTCAACTCAACGGTCGGAGGTCTGACCCTTTCCAAAGTAGGATGCTGAGTTTTGATCACCTCAAAAACACCCAATTGCGACGCTCGACCTCAAACATTGTTAGCAACGCCAGTATATGATTTGACTATGGATGGGGCCAGCTGGAAGCGAAGCTTGACTTCTTGAGCCGTTCTGGTTTCACCTGCACCAATCATTTGCAGACAATATTTTTGGGTTACTGCAGCTATATGGATTCCCTGAAGCAGCCCGACCCCAAGCCGTACTCTGCTCGCTACATCGGGAGTCTTGTGGGTGACTTCCACAGAACCATGCTGTACGGAGGCATCTATGGCTACCCGGCTGACAAGAAGAGCCCTACCGGCAAGCTGCGGTTGTTGTATGAGTGCGCGCCCATGAGCTTCCTGGCAGAGCAGGCCGGCGGCAAGGGGTCAGACGGCACCCAGCGCGTATTGGACATCCACCCCGACAAGGTGAGTGGGCCGTAATGCGCCTCCTGTGCAAGAGCTTGCCACGGTTAAGGAAGCATATATGTTGCCTCTCTGAGTGCATAAAGATAAACTGATAAGGAACTTGCATCTTGCTCCTTCACATGCCACACACTCAGAGGACATTACAAAATGTCAAGCGACGGCGATTTCTCCTTCATGTGCGGGCATGCCAGATAGTGCTACTCTGATCACAGTGGAAGATCAGGGAATGTCAACGAGCAGGAGAAAGGGCCATGCTATGATCATCCACACCGTGACTGGTGATTGTTGGTTGATGTGGACTTGTTCAGGCCAAGATCGTAAGCTCCGCAGATGAAACAAACTTTTCGGACATTTCAGGCCTCAAAAGGATTGATATTTTCGTCCATAGTATACTGCGGATTGCCGTGCCAGAACTTTCAAATGTCTGAGTCTGTGCTTCTACGGAGACTTCCTGGAATAGCTAGTCTGTCATGTTGGTGCAGCAAAGATGAAGAAAAGAAGCTGCCCTGACAATCGACTGTTGACGAATAACCCCGCTCCCATTGTAACCTTGCAGGTACATCAACGAGTTCCCCTCTATGTTGGAAGCCAAGAAGAGGTGGAGAAGCTAGAGAAATATTTGAGGGGTTGATTGAATCGCTACACCGCCCAAACATGACTGTACGGAGAGATACTCACACTGCCCGTGTTTGATTGAGGTAACGAGGTCATCATCTTCCATATGTTTTGGGGAGCGGGAGCACAGCCTCGACCAAGATTGCATTCTTGGCATGGTTTCTATAAGAGACAGTCCCACGTATGCAGGGTGGCCTAGGCATCGGTGTCTTGTTGCCAGCAGTTTCTATGCCATCATTCAGGAGTACATAAGGCATGGGATGCCGGCCCCCGTGGCCCAAACTTATTTGTTGCGGGTCAGGACATCGACCCAGGGATGCAATGTGAACATAAGATACCACCATGCGAAGAGGTAGCTAGCAATCTGCTCAGAGTCACATGATCCGGCATATCCATACCGCGCACATGCAGTGTCCAACATATCGATCTTGTCCATTTAGTGCACGGGCGTTAAAATCTGAGCAAGCGACCATCCGGCCATGCTTCTCAATGCATGACAGACGTCGACCGTGTATTTAGTATCACATGGGAGCAGACCCGATGAAACTGTCACGATAGTGAGGGGATGACTTGCACGGTGACTAGTTCGAAGTTATCTCTGGAAAACTATACATGCCGTCCGCCGAATCGCGCGCTGTATGTAGCTGATGTCAGGAACTGCTTTGACCTAGAGCTGGACTATTGAGGCAAGACGGTCTGCTTAACCAACACTGACGTCGAAAATTCGGGCTGATGGTCATTGGTCCAGGGAAATGGGTGACCAGAAAGGACTATCAAGTTGACTAACTTGTCTCCGTATACACAAGCCTTGATGAACTCAAACTTTTGGGCGCCTTGCCACAAATCCAAACCTGACTGCTACCGCTTTAGGAGAGTAGCCAAGAGTCGTTTCCCATAGACAGTTCTAGATCCCAGCGTCAGGGCAGCTACATTGCCTGCTACTGATGCGTAATATTTCTGCAAAACAATCAGCAGCTTAGAAGCTAAATTGTGGTACTCGCTGTGTTGAGTCCCTGTTGAGTCTCAGTCTAGAACATGAACTGGCATCCCCATTGAATTCACATATGCATGCCAGGAAAGCTCCTCAGAGCCAGGAAAGTACAGGATTGAAAAGCCTTAAACATTAGTCCCAATACATGAGCAGCTCACCTCCTGGAAACTTTTCTTTTGCGTTTTGTGACGAAACTGTTGCATAGCCCACCTGCAATGCTCAACAATGCAGTGTCTCAAACAAGCAACATCAAGACTGCCACCAATCACTGAGAAGTCAGAGTACTGTAATAGATAAAGAGGCCAGATCACCGCAAGCCAGTCCATGGCACTAGAAGAAGCAAGGTCAGCTGGGCCCTTATTCCAAGAGACAGTGCTCAACATTTGGGCAAAGTTGCTGATGTCATTGCGTTCGAGCAAGCAGTATTGAGGATCATTAGAGATCATTAGTCTGATTATCATTCGACCATGGGACCATAAGAAATAGACAGTGTATGCTGCTTTCAGAGAACGCCTTCAGTGATACTTACATACCACCAATCCAGCCACCAAGAGCTGCCGTCAGACACAGTGCATTCTCACTGACTCTCCATTGTTTCCGCTTGGCACATTCTTTATCGTACCAGAATGTGGCGGCTGCACCGGCATTTATCCCTACGAAGACGAAATCAGGTTCAAAAAGTCAATTGACGAGATTCTTCTTGACTCTTTGCTGATTGAACTCCAGATGTCGCCCCATTAGAGAGCGGGCAACGGCAAGTTCACACGTTGACTTATCACCACCACCATCAAACGAAGGAGACTTTTGCAATCTGAATCCGGGACACCCACTACGTGGCACAGGAGTCCACTTGCTCAACGCTGCTGCAGGTGATGGGTTAAAAGATACAAAACAACTTCTCTGATGTAATCTACGTGATCATCCGTGCAAGCAATTGAGCTATTGGTCTTCGACCTCACCTACCGCATAAACTGCCCCAATTCCAAGGAGAGGACGTCCTCTCAAGGCACTCCTAGCAGCCATCCTGCCGCCTCTCCAACCCAGCCTCCCTGCACCTTGAGCCTCCTTGAGGCCACAGCCTCAGGCAGCCGCCCCGCACTCCGCCATGATGCCTCCGAGTCCAACTCATTCCAGCACTGATAAACTCTAGAGCTGTCGCTGCACCTTTAAAAGTAATCCAGTCCGTGTCTGTAGGAGGTCTGAGCCTACGAACCTCTAAGGGTTCGCTCGAACGACAGCAGTAGCTAGATCTGTATTCAATGTTAGTTGGCATTGCGTGGCACACCTGCAAGGTAGCCGCGATGGCGGCTTGATGGGATGGTGGTAGGAGGTCCTAGCGCCTCACAACCCCAGTCTCTCACGAATGGCAGAGCCTGATCGTGCCTTGCGAAATTGTGCTGGCCTGATTGGGTCTCTGCTGTGTATTAAGAGCATAGATTGAGGCATGGGTTCTTCGGAGGACATTGCTGAGCCGCTTTTGCCACGGAGCGAGAGGGACCTTGAGGCAAGCGGAGCTGATGCTGAGGTTGGACTGCATGCAGTGGAGGTGCCCCCTTCCTTGACGAGCTTCCCAACAGGGCATCAGATAGCAGGGGAGTTGGGGCGCCAATGGTCTTTGGCGCTGCCGGTGCTGATCACTGTCTTCCTGCAGGTATGCACTGTGATTAAGATTTTGCGGTTAGTGTTACGGATTGTTTGCAGATGAGGTGCACGATAATTTGTACAAGCGCTCTTTTGATATGCTAGTCTCGAAAGGAGGCTTTGGGCAGTGAAGGCTTTCGCTATGAGTTGGAGAAGCCAATTCCATGACAGCTGGATTGCCACCCGAAGGTCAACGTCTCACCTATGCGCATTTCATTTGAGATCTTCCTTTTCAGAAGTCCCATCATGCCTGGTATTAGATCCTTGTACTTCCTCTTTTGATCTGACTCTGATCAAGCAAACACTCACTCCGTGTCACCGTGCGACAGGTTCTTCTCACCACGCTCACGAGCATCTTTGCGGGTCACATCGGAGAAGAGGCGCTAGCAACAGCTTCTCTCGGGACTAGTGTTTATGGGGCCACTGGCTTTTGGCTTCTCTCTGGGTTGGCGGGGGCGGTGGATACACTAGCGGGGCAAGCGTTTGGGGCCAAGCAGTATCGCAAGCTCGGGGAGATTGTGCAAAGGGCCCTGCTTTTGAACACAGTGGCGTGTATCCCCATAGGGGTCCTCTGGTGGAACTCAGAGAGAGTCCTCTTGGCGCTGGGACAGGAAGCAGACATTGCCGCCTCAACTGCGCGATTCCTGGTTGGCCTGTTCCCCGGCCTGCTGGGCAGCGCTTGGCGGGTGCCCCTGGTGCGCTACCTCGCAGCGCAGCGGTTGGTGCAACCAGTGGCAGGGTGCGCAGCCATCGCAGTCGTGGTGCATCTGATCGCAAACTATGTGCTAGCGTTTCAGCTGGGATACGGGCTGGCTGGGATCTCCTACGCCTTTTCGGTTACCCAGGTGTTCTATCTCGCGCTTCTTCTGGGGTACATCCTGTGTTCCAAGGTCCGCGAGACCACGTGGACCAGCTGGTCCTGGAGGGCGACGTTCTCGGGCCTGGGCCTCCACCTGTCGCTGGCCATCCCGTCGATGGTGATGGTGTGCCTCGAGATGTGGTCCTATGAGCTCTCGCTCTTCCTGGCGGGCCTGCTACCCAACCCCAAAGTACAGCTGTCCACCGTCAACATCGCCCTCAACTTGATGATGCTAGCCTTCACCTTCGGCTCCGGTTGGAGTGTAGCCATATCCGTACGGGTGTCAAACGAGTTGGGTGCCAACTGTCCGGAGCGGGCTCGCCTGGCTGCGATCGCTTCGCTAACCATGGCTCTGCTGTCGGGAGCGACCGTGTCCTTAATTCTATTTCTGTCTAGAAATGTCATTGGGCGGCTCTTTACGGATAGCAAAGCCATCATAGATCTAACAGCCCAGCTTGTGCCTATTCTGTGCGTTGCCGCGGCTGCTGACACCGTGCAGTTCACAATGGCCGGTGTCCTTAGAGGGTCTGGAAAGCAGAAGATAGGCGCAGTCTGTAACTTATTCAGCTACTATGTTGTTGGAATTCCAGCAATGGTGATATTAGCGTTCCATTATGAGCTTGGTGCGAAGGGGCTTTGGTTAGGATTGACGCTTGCACTTTTGAGTTGCCTCTCCGTTTACTCCCTTTTGGCAAGCAGGCTAGATTGGGAAGCGGAGGCAAGCAAAGCAAAGGCCAGGCTCGGAGTCTCAAGTAAGGATGCTCAAGAACAGCTCGCTTAGCTTTCTAGCATAGGGATTGGTAGTAGGTATATCTCTGTACAGCCCAAATGGATGATCCTGCGATCCTTGTACAGTAGCAAATTGTTGAGTTGCTGTCAGGCATGCTCTGATTTTCGATTTGACCTAGCCCTGATCTGAGTCCGTCGAGTACCCCCTAGCTCAAAACCCCCTTCCGAATGCACTTTCCTTGGCCCCTTTTCTTTGAAACTGACGTAGGACAAGGAGCCTGACTGGCATCCTTATGTTTCGCAGGTTGATTATTATGAGTAGCTCGAGTTTTCGAAAGCGAAATCTGCGTAGTTTGTGACCGTATTGAACGGGCCAGTCGCCATATGATGGTGCAGTGCTGGCACGGCCCTCGACAGCCTTCGCTAAGGGTGCATGGTGCTTCTCAATGTTGAGCACCCTATTATTACAGTTAAGCGTGTCCACATATTCGCCAACATAATTAAGTTGATGCTCTGACAAGCATGGAGACCCCTGGCATGTCGGGCACACGCATATATACATTCGTCCAACTTACACCGCATGAAAAGGAAAGATCCGGCCTGCTTGGAACATGGTTGGGCCACACGTGCGAGAGTCGTACGTTTACGACCTCAGAATCGACAAACACTCGATGACGTTTGAACTATTCCTCCACACGTACAAGACGGCTCCACAAAGAAGTATGGCAACTTTGTTTTGATCGGTCCAATTTAACGTGATTGATACACATTTCGGCCCACAGCCTCATTGCAGGTCGGAATAGAGCGCACCTCTTTCCCACTGACTGTTTGCAAGAAGGCATTGCACAGTTTGATTCGTATCATACTCAATCATGCAATAAAAATGCTCCCTCGTGCAAAGACCTGACGCAATAGATCAGCCCCATCCTTTCCTATAGGGTTTGCCTCCTGGTACACAAACCGATTTACACGATCCTCTGGCATCCATATAGATTAACCCGCCATCTATCAATCTGTGTCTGTGAAGTGGACGTCCTTCGAAGTCGGGTTTACTTGCCACACGTTCAGCGCGGCATACTCCTCCAAGCACTCCTCCAGCTGCTGCTGGTTGTAGCCCTGCAACTCGACAAAGAAAGGTTTAAGTACCACAATACGGGACAGGGATGTTCGAAGCTCCCCTTTGCCTTTACAAGCTGTGCATAGCCACAATATGGCGGATCAACACGGCTTCTTCGTACGGTTACCGACCACCGTGCCTCTAGCTAGACCACGCAAATGTTGAGCAGTGTGCGGTGGGCACCAGCTTCCCTCAACCCGACTGCTGCTCCTCTGCGCTAAACGTAACGTGGAAAGAAGCGCACCATGCAATACAAAGCAATTTTGGGACGAACGGCCAGGTCCATTAGTGCTTTTGGTCCTTGGCAGCTGCCACAAAATGGCCGTTTGGAACACTCGTTCTCCCTGGCCCCACCCGCCCGATTACAACCTCAGCACGTTGCTCGCCCTGCCTGGTCGTGTCCCGACCCTTGTAGGCGCGGTCTCACCTTGCGCGTGATCCAGTTGAGCGCGTCGGTGTAGGCGACGTGTGTGGTGTCCTGCTTCTTGGCCTCGTCCCGCAGGATGGTGTAGATGTCGGACACGGGGTCCAGCCCCTGCCGCCGCGCGCCGTCCTCCTGCAGGCTCATCTTGGACATCTGCATCAGCCGCAGCGCCTCGTCCACGTCGCTCTGCGCCACCGCGCCGCTGAACCGCAGCCGCGCCAGCGCCTGCACGGCAGCGGACCAGGAGCCACGTCAGCAGTGTCTTCGATGGGGTGTGTCGCCAGAAACGGAGGAATTTGCAGGCAATGAAGATTCATGAGGACACTGCGAATCTTGACCGTAGCGGTTGGCTTTCCAGGACAAGCATGATTGGCCGCAGCTCCAAGGAACGTGGACGACGGCGGAATGACGTCGGCCTTGCGTGCCCCCGTCCTTTTAAGGCAGCGGAATGACTGTGCCTGAGCCGCAGCTCCTGCCGCTCGCGAGCGTGTGTGTGCGCGCACCTGCGCGAGTCGGATGGTGGAGAGCAGCGTCCGCGCGGTGGTGTACGTCGTGGGCGCCTCGCTGGCGGCCTCGTCCTGCCGCAGCGTCGCGTATGCGCCCGCGATGTACTCCGTCAGCTCGCGCGGGATGACCGGCGAGTGCTGCCGCGCCAGGGAGATGTACGCCCTGGGAACACGCACGCCCGCGTCAGAGTCGAACATAATTTCGGATAAACGTTTCCACTTGTTTCGAATGTCCTTCGAGCGTCGGCAACGAGAGAGACAGAAATAGCGCCACACTATTTGTCCGTGCAAGCTTTACGTTTGCCAGCTGTACTCGAGCGCCGTGCCTTCGCAGTTGCTGTCAAGTCGCTCTGTGCAAGGAGTGTTTGGGGCGGTGGGGATAGCCCGGCTGACCTGAGGACGTGCGCGGAGAGCGGCTGGAATTCAAGGTCGGGCGCCCTGCTGTGCTGGTGCACGTGCAGCACGTGCTCCGCGAGGCGGCGGTCGGCGTCGCTGTCGGCGCGGTCCAGGATGAGCCACAGCAGGTCGAAGCGCGACAGTAGCGCGGGCGGCAGGTTGATGTTCTCGGCAGGGGACCGCCGCAGGTCGTACCGGCCCCTGCCGCCACCACACCGCAGATGTCAGCGCAAAGCAAGGTACGGGGATCGCGCACACGGAGTGAGGAACTCCCCTTTTGACCGCCATGACGTTCCGCCGACGTTGGTCCATTAAAGTGGTCCATGAGTGATCCACAAAGGAGACGCAAACCCTCTGCTTTAATCACACAAGGTAAGCGCTTCGTCAAATCGTTCCGGGGCCTTGGCTCCAAATCCAACAAGGTGGGAAGAATCACAGTGAGCTCTGATTCTAGAGCTCAAACCAGGGAAGCAGGATTTGTGAATGATCTGTTCAAAGGCTGACAGGTGCATGGGGCGAGTGCCCAGAGATGGGCCCCCGTACCATGCCGGGTTGGCGGCTGCGAGGACGGAGGTGCGCGCGTTGAGCGTGGTGGTGATGCCGGCTTTGGCGATGGACACCGTCTGCTGCTCCATCACCTCGTGGATGGCCGTGCGGTCGCTCTCCTCCATCTTGTCGAACTCGTCGATGCAGCAAATGCCCATGTCCGCCAACACCTGCGGCAAGCACCAAAACATCACAGGATAAGGCTCGCCCGCTACCGATCTGGAGGAGGTTATATTTAATTTTGTTAATAGACAAGGAGGGCGTGCTGGAATGGCAAGATCGTTCGGGGTGGCTAAAAGCACACTCATCGAGGATTTTGTAGATGAAACACACTTCGACGAGTCTTTTGTGCTGAAAAGGACCGCCTTGGTTTCATGGAATAAAGAGGAACACCCAGATCCGTGGAGCAAGAGTGATTCGTACCAGCGCCCCCCCCTCGAGGACCATTTCGTTGGTGACGGGGTCCCTGGTGACGGCCGCCGTGAGGCCGACGCCTGAGGAGCCCTTGCCGGTGGTGTAGACGGCGCGCGGCGCGACCATGCAGATCTGCTTCAGCAGCTGGCTCTTGGCCACACCGGGGTCGCCCATCAGGCACACGTGCAGGTCGCCGCGGATCTGCAGCGAGGCCGAGCGTTTTGGAGGTGGCAAAAACCTCGAGTTGGGGATGCCTGCCTTACGACCAAGCATCTCTACCCCCTTTGCTACCATCTTGCCCCCTGGCTTATCGGGATGACGTAGGAGCCTCTTTCCTGGCGCTAATATGGGCAGGGAGGCACAAGCCGACTTAGATGCTCGCCATCATCAAGTACTGTGACGAAGTGGCTGTCCGGCGCTCTGAAGTCGTCATCCAGTCATGGATCGAAGGGCCTTGCTACTCTAGTCGAGGGCATCGAGTTAATCCGCTTCCTAATCTTTGCAAGATCAGCTGGACGAGAAAGAAAAGCGACTGCCTTTGACGAGGTGATGGGATGGGATCGGCAGCCAAGGATCGCAACGACCACAAGCCTCAGCAGCCAAGGACGTTACAGCAGAGCCTACTTGCAGAAGCAGCAGCCCGGCAGGGTGCAGGGGTGCGGCTGACCTTCATGCCGTCCTTGAGCTGCTTGGTGGTTCCCCCCACGAGCAGCAGCAGCAGCGCCTTCTTGACGTCCTCGTGGCCGTAGATCTCGGGGGCAATAGAGCGCGACAGCCGCGCATAAACGTCGCCCTCCTCGGCCAGCGCCTCCACCTCCGCCTGCGTCCCCTCGTCCAGCTGGTACCTGAACGCGACGCACATACACCGCACCCGTCAGCCCAGGAAGGCACCGTGGATTTTAGCAAAGAACCGCGTCAAATCCGCACAGAATAGTGACAACTTCAGCAGTAGAGAGGTAGAATCATGGTCTCGAGATCTGTGAGAAGAACGCCGTTTCATTGCTAGCCCGTGGCCCTTGCTTCGAGAATCAGGCGACATTTTATTGCTTAGTGCAGTTCCTAGACCTTAGAACGAGTGTCCCATACAAGGAGAGCACAATGGAGCAGCGGCCTCACTCCTGGTAGCGCTTCTTCATGTGCTGGATGGACGTGGCCTCCAGGAACGTGTCGGCCACCAGCCCCGCCCGCATGGCACGGAAGCCGGTGTACGGCACCGGCAAAAAGATGCCCGACACCGACACGACATCACCTGGTCCCACCTGCGATGAAAAATTGGTATGAGAAGCAGGCTTCAAGCGACATCGCAGAAGCCCTGGACTGACAGATGTCGCTCTGAACGGAGAGACATTGATTGTCAGAGCATTTTCTGGCAATCTCAATGTCGGGTCGGGGCGATGACCCTGTGCAAGTTATTGTGGGTGGAGTTGAAACCTGCAGAGGCCTTTGTCTGTTCTTGGGGATGGCGCTAGCTAAAGCAACTTATTGGCACTCTCAGAACACAATGAGTGTGCCCCTCTGGCTGTCAGTGGCGGCTGACCTTGCGCGTGAGCTCTCCCCGTATGTGGACGCTCATGGTCCGGGGAATATGGCCCTTGGGCACCTGGTCCGACATCTCCTGAATGCGCGCCTGCACCATGTATCTATCACAGTCAGCCACTTTGCAAGCTCCAGGCATGCCAGTTTAAGGGCAAAGACATTACTCACTTCGCAATCTCCAGCAAAATGCTGGGTGTGTCCCTAGAGCGGATGATACAGGCGATCTTAAGACTAAGGGCAGTTTGATCCTGAGACTATGAGAACACACGTGCACATGTTTAGACGCGCGACTTCCCAAAGCTGGTGTTCCACACAGGCGCACCTCCTGAAACTTGACAAACTTGGACCCCCTTGTTTGGAGCTGCAGCTGGCCGCGGGCGTTGTTGCTCCGGCAGCGCACACTGGGGCACTCGTGGATGGGCATGAACTGCCGCGCCGTCACCTCCTGCACAAAACATACACAAGCCGGTAAGGTCCTCTGCACTGCGCCATGGGCTGGCATTCAGATCGGAGAGAAAGAAGCAAAACAGCCCGCAGCGCTCTGCATCAACTTGAGGACCTAAAGCCAGCATACTAATAGCTGCACTGAAGCACACCAGTTTCGTATAAGTTGAAGTCCATCGGCATGTTTACCTGGTAGATCTCGAACCCGCACTCATCACAAGTGTATGTGGCGACGGCCATGAGGGGCTTGACATCAGTGCAGCGCGTAATGATACCCTTGATGGTAACCAGGTGGCCAATGTCCGCCGCCTTCACCTCGCGGATGGCCATCACTGGCGCCTTGGTCAGGGGCACAATGCGTACCTCGCTGCACAGGACAGCACGAAACGTAAGCGAGAGTGGCAAGGACCTTCATTGAAAGAGAAGTGCTTCTCAAATGATTTGAACAGGACGTTCAGGACAGAGGTTGGCATGGCTGATGGAATGTCGGGGATTGGTCACGATGAATCAAAGCTGCCCAACTTCTTGTTTGTCTCCAAGCACAACTCTGGAGCCCCTCATTTATTGGGAGATTTGTCCGGGCTTGTGGCTTCCGGTACACAGAGTGAGATCGATGCGAGGTAAGTTGACCCACAATGTTCTCCTCATGGAGTCAGGCAGCTTGTGTGCGGGGTCTGCAGCTGGCGCAGCCGCGCCCTCCTCTCCCTCGCCTGTTCGTTGGCGCTGCCGCATGAGGACATCAAACACCGTCTCCTCTCCCGCATCCCCAGTGGGCGGAGGCATGACCGCATCCACCGCTTCAGCAAAGAGTGATGCGTACCGCCGAGTGTTCTTTTGGATGCTGGCCAGTAAGCCCTCCTCGTTGAACTGCGGAGCCCAAACCAGTTGCAGTATCAGCAGGAAAGCAACAGACACTTGCCTCGAGTTCAGCAAGGAGCAGGAGGGGGTGGGCTCAGGGAGCACCAAACAAACAGCAAGATTCTTGTTGCAGCATAAGAGCTCCTGTGCAAACATGAAGGGCTTACATCTGCAACATCGTCCAGCCTGATCTCCACTGTAGTCTCTTGTCGGTTGGACACCTTTTGCTGGATAAGAAGAGAAGTACGATGGTAAGTTCTTGTAACGGACACTCGGTAAGTGCAGAAGAATTCTACCTATCAGGCTTAGCATAAATGCAGATGAATGTGCTGTACATTGCCTTGCGTCCAGGCCGCTCAAAGTGCTTGAGAGCAATCTGCTTCAAGCTGGCACTCGGTTGGTATGTGTGCCTCTGCTTGAAGTTGCGCTTACCAGGAGCTTCAAGTACTTGTGTGCCCGCTCGTCGCCCTCAGGCATATCGGCAGGGTAGCCTTTCAGGAAGACTATGCACCTCTCTGCAAAAGTGGATTTGATTATTTTCTATGCTGAGGAACCGATTCAAATCCCAGGCACGCCTGACAATCACCAACCACCAGAGCATGCTGCAGTGACAATCAAGTGTTGTGGTGCTGTATTGATGATGGTCAACAAGAGCAAGTGCATCACGAACAAGAACAGCTGGCAGCTCGAGGCCTCTGCTTTCCAGCCCTAGCACCGCCGGTGCCGTACCTGTTTCATCTGCATAGTCAGGGCCTGGCATCTTGCTTTTGAAAGTTTGCGAGGGGCTTTTTACGGTGAGTCCTCTTAACGGGTTTTGTTGCTTCTTGTAGCCGGCCAACAAGGTGCCCTCAGTTTCGGATGCAAGTAACAGCTCTTAACATCGGCAGGAACTGCTCCTGCGGGTAATGCGACAGTTTTGATTCCGATCAAATGCGCAACTCCAATCCAGCAGGTTTCCCGAGCACTAAAGGGTGTGTGAAGCACTCAAAATGCGTCCTCCTTAGATTGCTAAAGCTTCAGCACCAAAAAGTACCCCACCAGTCCGGCGAAGCTCTGAGAGCCTCTGACGCAGGTCAAGCCTGAACAATGAAAGATGCCAACAAGTTGGCCCAGGCCCCACACCACTGACCAGCCAGTCTGCAGGGCCCAGCTGGCTTCGGAGGACTTCGCCACATGCATGAGCGAGATGATGGTGGGCAACTTTTTCTCGCGGGAAGCTTGTAAGTTGTGGCGCCAAAAGTGTGCAAGGCCGACCGCAAGATCTTCCACGTGTTTTATCGGTGCACGGTGGCGATTGTGCTGTCGCCAGCGTGATCCCCGATCCCCAAATCGCTTGCTCAAGATCGCCTTCCGAGTTCAGGGCTTCATGTGAGAAGGAGAAGCTTCCAATACTGCCGCCACATTCTCCTGTCTGGCATGAACCTCCGTCCGCTGGCCTGGTTAAGTAATTTTTGGCGTACCGGGCGCAGTCCGGGCATCCAACGGTGAAATCGTTCTATTTTCTAAGATCGGACGGTACGCCGATTGCCTTTGCTGAACAGAAGGCTGAGTCCATCCCCCGCCTAAAGGTCGCAGAAAGGAGGGACAGCGCCCGAAAGTGGTGAAGTCCAAAATTGTTATTTTGCCCAGCACCTCAGACTGGCCGCCATGGCTGCCGACATGGCTGAAATGAGCTGGGAGCAGCACCCATGACCAAAATTTCTCAAACCCAACGGCAACCTGAAGCTATGTGCAACCTATAAATTGAATACCAGCTGCTTTCAAAGGTAAATTTGATGCACATTCTCCCCCCAAATCCAAAATGTGCCTTTCAACCCTAAAAGGAGCCTCGGAGGCGCAATGGAGGTTTTGTTGAAAGTCGCCGGGGCAACTATACATCAAATTTTGCAATCTCAACGGCAAGACTGCTCTACAAAAAGCAATCCTAGCTTGCTGAAATGCAAAGTTTGTGGAGAAAGACCTTCTACTCTCCCCCCACAGCCCGTCCCTGCCTCCTCAAGCCCTGAGCACAAGGCAGCCATTGCGGCAGTCTTCTGCTTCAAATTACTGGCTGTAGGTGTTCCGGTTTAGGCCTTGACTTCCGGGACTTTGGTTTTACTGAGCAACTTTGTCAGTCTTGGGCAACCGCTGAAAGTGCCCGGGGATTCAGCGGAAGTGACCGTCGATGTCACTTCCTCTGGTTCTGAACCGTCCGATGCACATATTTATCTGAACATTCTAGGGGACAAGAAGTTTATGCCAGACAGGATTCTTGTTGGCTGGGCGCAAATGCTCTCACTGCTCAGGCTCTTGCAACCTTTTACAAGCTATAAGGGATTATTTGTCATCGTTTTATAAATCCACAATACCAGTGCCTGCACTGAAGACCTTGCAAACAGCAGAGGTTGGTAAGGACTCCTCTTACAAGAAAACCCAAAGCTGAACCTTGCAAAAGGTGAGGCCAAACAGGGTTGTCTGCATGTAAGTTGTAACATCTCGCAGCATTGCATGATTGCAAACTCCGCAGCCCAGATCTCTGGAGAACATGTATGATGTGCCTTGCAAAGGGCTTCCGTGCTTGAGAGGACTTTTATAAAGCGAAAAGGGCACACCTCTTTTAGTATCATCAGCTGCGTGCCACAGAGCAGAATGAGGGATCCGGGAATATGAAGCTGTTGTAGCGTGGCGGCAACGTTTATTGTGTGGGCATTGTACCACAACTTGCAGCATTCAGTCGGAACTCAAGCCGCTCAGGCTACTGGTCTGCTGGACGCTGGGCAGGATGGTCCAGTTTTTCGGGGCCCAGGTCTTGCTTGTTTGCAGTTTGTTAGCTGCGGAAGGTTTGCAGCAACCAGCAACTCAGTTGACATAGTGGTGCATTATTCCTTAAGGGGAAAGCTTTCCTTTGCAGGCTTTGTACCCTGTGTCAAGCGCCTCTTCCTCCGTCTTTCCATATTTCTCCAGGATGGTCGGTCAGACGGACGCCGATGTTTTTGACGGGGAGGACATGCTGGCACAGCCCATTCTCCAGCGATCGGACAGTCTCCCTGCGGACTGGGACGGGTATGAGCCCTTTGAGGCAGGCAATGCTGCCGCCCCACTGCTGAGCAGTCATAAGGAGGATGACTGGAAGGACTTTGCCCGGTCGGAGCTGTGGGCGGTGGGGCGCATGGCGCTGCCGGTGGCGGGGATGAACTTTGTGTGGCTCATGCGCACCATTGTGTCCACCATCTTCCTGGGGCAGCTGGGCCGGCTGGCGCTGGCAGGCGGGTGAGGCGACAAGCAGGCTCGACGGGGCCATGGCAGCCTGGACTCTTTCACGAGCCCTTTGACTGGTCTGTGGACCTCTCCATTCAGAAAACACGGACATATTTGATTATCTGGCTGTTGACGCCAACAAGTTTCTCTTTCTTGGCATGGCTCCACTGGTGCTGCCAGGTTACCTATAGTGCACAGCCCGTATGATTCTTCTTCTGAATGTACCTTGTCCCTTTGCTCATTTGAAAGCCTGGCCTCTGCTAAAAGCTGACCAACTGGCCACCTTGAACATACACTTTGTGCTCTTAGCAGTACCTAAGAAAAGAGTTTTTGGAAGAACCGGCCTCATACGGGCTGCCATCAGACATGTTTCTATCGACCTGCAGATCCCTGGCGGTGTCCATTGCCAACGTGACGGGCTACTCCGTCATCACGGGCCTGTGCTATGCGCTCGAGCCGCTGATGTCACAGGCTCTGGGCGCGGCGCAGTTCCACGAAGTGGGCATCCAGCTGCAGCGCGCGGTTACCATTCTGCTGGCGTGCACGCTGCCCATCTGTGCCATGTGGTGCTTCATGGAGCCCATTCTCATCCTGCTGGGGCAGGACCCCGCGGTCGCGCGCGTGGCGGGGATCTACATCGTGCACCTCGTGCCGGACGCGTTCATCATCTGTTTCGTCATGCCCCTGCGCATCTATCTCACGTCACAGGTGTGCAAAGAGAAGCCAAAGCTGTTGAGCTGGCGCTCAAGCTTTCTAGACATTCCTGCAATGGTCATTCATCCAGAATGCTTTTTGCGCATCATGATCTGTGGCCCTCTTTTGACAAGATGTCCTGAATGAATGCCATTTTCTCAGTCCTATCTTGTTTGGCGCAAACTTAACTCAAACAGTCAGAACATCACTCCTCGATTCCGCCCTGCCTCACAGTTAGCTGCTCTTTGCAGGGCATCACCGTCCCCATGTTTGCGTGCGCCCTGGTTGCCGCGGCCGTGCACATCCCCCTCAACATCCTGTTCATCTCCGTCCTTGGCTGGGGCCCCGTCGGCGCCGCTGCTGCCACGTGGATCTCTGACCTGCTCCTGCTGGTGCTGCTGCTAGCCTTCATCTGGGTGTCGGGCGTGTACAAGCAGTCCTGGGGCGGCTTTGCTCCGCGCGAGTGCTTCCGCGAGTGGGGGCCCTTTCTGGCGCTCGCGGTGCCGTCCTGCTTCAGCGTCTGCCTCGAGTGGTGGTGCTATGAGGCGCTACTGCTTGCGGCAGGCCTCCTCGATGTGAGTCCTACCGACATGCTCCGCTTGTCGCCTTTTGAGGCCGACAAGTAGATCAACCACAGAAGAGGGGCCCGCAAAACAGTAGTCTCTCTGGCCGTTCCTGCCGTTGCTCCCTGCCTTTTCCATGCAGAGCATTCAGGTCGGCCGATGAGACACAACCGTGAAGATTGAGTTCGCTTTGATCTGTTCAGAAGGGCAGTGGCTGCAGTACCGCCCGATCTGGTCGTCTCTCCTGACCCTTTTTTGTGCTTGTCCGAAAAGTCCTGTTTCTCGCATGACGGATCTTTTCTTGTCCTTTTCTAGAACCCCGAGTTGGCGGTCTCGACCATGGCGATCACGGAGAACGTCACCACGCTGCTCTTCATGCTGCCAGGCTCCCTCGGGAATGCGGTCAGGTCAGTGTCTCAGGACCCTCACTGCCTGAAAACGATCAATAGAAACAATCTCACTGTGCGGGCGAGAAGGAGGTGCGGTTCAGCTGTCTCCCGTGTACATAACGTGACCTGCTGATGTGTTCGTTGAGCAGCTGATGCTGAAGTGAAGGATCTGCCGTTGCATCGGCTACGCTTTGGTTGAACGTCGGCCATTGCCGAACTGACGCAAGCTGTGACCAAGAATGTTGATGCTGGAGAGGGCTTGCAAGGTTTACTTCGGCCCCCTGCGGGGCCCTGTAAAGCTGCCCCCCCCTGTCTCCGCTGCTCACCGTCGCTGACTGTGGCTGTGGGTGCAGCGTGCGCATTGGCAAGGAGTTGGGCTCCAACAAGGCCCGCGCCGCGCGCCTCGCTGCGGAGGTGGGCGTGGCGCTCGGCTTTGCTCTGGGCCTGCTCATCACGCTGTTCCTCATCCTGCTGCGCCACCCGCTCGCGCGCTGCTTCACGGCGGACCCGCAGCTGCTCGCGCTGGTGGGGGGCGCCATCGTCATCAACGCCATCTCGCTGCTGGGCGATGCGCCGCAGGTCAGGCTTCTGACTGCTCGTAGTGTCAACTTTAACGGGTGTGGCGTCTTTTCGGACTCGAGTCTTTGCTGAAGCCCCGGCTGGGCTTACCACAGACTTTGAGGATGACAGCTGATTTTTGGCTTCACGAACATCGGTTCGCAAGGAGAATCTAGGGGCACAGAGGATCAATCGAAGCCGCCTTCTGAACGGTAAACAAAACGCTGGAGAAACAAAGCAGTCATAGGCACAAGGTCGACCCTTGGCTATGACTCCCTTGCAGTCATAAGCAAGGGAGTTCACCTTCAGACAAGGTGAACTCCCTTGCCTGAAGGACAATTTCCCACCTAGATTGGAAGTAAGAATCCTTTCTTCGAAGAACACGCTCTTGACTGGCCTCCAATGGGACCCCCCATGCGAATGGTCCCTCATCGCCCCTTGCTACTCGTGCAGGCCGTGATGCAAGGCATCTTGCGCGGGAGCGCTCGCCCCGCCACCGCCGCCAAGATCAACGTCGGCGGGTACTACCTCGTCGGCTTGCCCGTGGCGCTGGGGCTCGCGTTCTGGGGCCACTTCGGGGTGTACGGCTTGCAGTGGGGCATCGTGTGCGCGCAGGTTATGCAGGTGCTCCTCATGGGGACCGTTGTGTGGAGGACCGACTGGGCCACCGAGGCGGAGAAGGCGCAAGCGCTCACGGGAGTGCTCACAAGCGAGGGCAAGGTGCAGGGGCGGAAACCCACAAAGGCGATGACGATCGCGAGGAAGGGGGCGCTCGCATTTGACGAGGACGGCATGGCGCCCATTGCGCGGTCGATGGATAGCTACTTCCTGATTAGCAGTAGCTACTCGTAATAGCACTGGCGCTCAGGTTCGGTTGAGTTGTTTCTCTTGATCTGTCGTGTATAAGCTGCTGAACAATGTACAAAATATGCTCGCGCTAGGTAGTAGATAGTTGTGGATAGTAGTCCTTGTTGTCGACACGACGCACTTACGGCGCTATAAGCGAGAGCAATTACTCATAGGGTACCAGAGCCCGTGTTGCTGAGCACAGTTAAAACTTAGTACTAGATACAAAGAATGGTTCCTACTGGTACAGGGACAGTTGTTTCGTGGAGCTTTTAATAGTGTCCTTGCAGAAGTATCATACCATGATGGATCCCCAGATATAGATCGCGGCGGTGGTTCGATAGTCGCTCAAGCCGCTATAGCCTGGCCGGAGTATGCCAGAAGCTCAATCCATTGGATGCGGAAACTTTGAAGGCTTGGGGTGTCGCTTTTTGGTCTCTTTTTGAACGCCACGTGCGAGAAATGCGCATCGCGATAGCCTTTTTTCCTTCACTGTTGTATCCATGCAAGGCCTCCTCTGAAGTCTGATCGAGATGTAAGCCCTATCAAGAGGAGGGAGCAGCCTCGACAGAAGTGCGAGCCGTGGTGTCCGCAAGAGCCTTCAGAAAACGCCCGCAAGAATCGCACTGCGCCGGGGTCAGATTGTTGAGTTTGGCAAGCTCCGGGCCAGGTTATAATTCAACGGCTTGAGCACGGCTTGAGTCGGAAGCGATTGGTTAAAGCTTGAAGTTTACAAACTACTAGATTGCAGCGTGCGCCATCACAGGCATGGTTTATGAATGATGGTATTTTGTATTTTCGCCGTAGCCATGTATAGGCCATGATCAATAGCGAGAGCTACAGCTTTAAATCATGATTTAGCCTCACCAGTGGCAGTACATGCGCTCTAGGTGCTCTTACTAGATGCATGATAAAGTATATGCATCCGGTGCTTTGCACTGCAGTGTTGTCGACAATACGTGCGCGGCTCGTGCAATCAGGTGGATGCATAAACATTCGGCCGTTGACGTGATCCTTTAACTTGACGCGATCATGGTGCGAGATCCTCTTAATGTGAGTCACACATATATATGTCGCGGGGCCGGCATAGTATCCAGCGGCCCCTTCAAACCTAGTGCATGTGCGAGGGTCGCACAACAGAAAGCGTCCGTATAGCTACTGAACATATGTAGTTGATACACACTGTGGGACAGCTCACGCGCAGCCTTCAAAGCTCACGCACATGCTCAATTGCTACAATCATATAGGCAGCCGAGACTCAATTCTGTGCATGAGGGAGAACAAGACAGAAGCATGACCGAATCAATCTACTTCACAGAAGTTTGTGTATGATCAATCAGATCACAAAACATGCAACTTGATGAGGAAGTCTGCCTTCGGACGTTTATTCTAAACATGGCGCCTCCGAGTCGCACCAATCCACGAACCTACAAGCCTCTGAGAACTCTTGCGTACCTCATCATCACGCGGACTTTCCCAAGCTCCGATATGGCTCTACGCTAGATGTTTGGAACGGATGTCAAATGCAGTGCCAGTGCAGAGCACAGCTGATCACCCCAGGTGCGGCTGATAGCAGACTGCTACTACCCAGCTATGATTGAAACAAAGCGTGCATGATTACTAGAAAGGCTCAAGCGCAACACGCGCTTCAAACTAGTTCAAGATATAGATGTCTTTGGGGATGTATAGCACGGTGTCGTTTCCAATGGCCTTGGTGACCTGGGTCTGGGAGATGTCGTAGCCTTTGGCTCCCAAGTATTTGCCCGTGCCCCGAACAGGTATCAACCTTGACCCGCTCCTCCCCTACTCCACTGCACAAGCGAGTATTGATGCATGGGCGTCAAATCCTCAAAATCCTCAGCTCGATCATGATATCGCTTATATACATAGGATAGGTGAAAGCTCTCTCTTTGTTCTATGTCATCCTCATCCAACATATTTATCCCTAAACAACGTATATATTTTCCTCTTCATCATAATTCCGGCTGGGCCCCCCACACCCCTTCTTCGTATACTCAATCATTACCCCACACTTAGGACACCGTCAATCAAGTGGCCTCACTCTCGTAGAGTTGGACTCCGGAATCGAAACAGCGCGGTAGAATATGGACTAAGGGGCCAAAATTAGCTCGAGTGTAATCAGTGTTATAGTGGCCGGTAGTTTAATCATTAGTTACACAATTGTCCCTGCGTGACAAATCAGTGGAGTGCCGATTCGCCCTCGATCCCACGTTCTACGATTGTGACCCATGCGCAAAACAAACCTGGGAATGTCATTGGATTCTTTCCAAGAAACTGCGATACGAATCTTGGCCAAACTCCCCAACTTCTTCCTCCAGCAAGCAACCGAGCTGCGTTAGGAGCGGGTTGCAAGCTACTTCAACAACAGTAACACATGGTGTAACAAATCGTCTTAGTTAGTAACCAACGTCCAATAATTGAGCTGAGTCTAGGGCATACATCAAGTGCCGTGTCCAACAGTGCGCCAGCAACTCAGAACAAAACCAGCGGCCTGAGCACCCCATTCGACTCCACACTTAGCTTAGCATAATGGCCTCGCGTCATTGTCAGACCTGCACTACCACTTTAGCTTCCGCTTTCGTGGAAGCTCCTTGCTTCTCTTGGGAGTCGGCCATCAAGGCTTCCGCTGCTCGACGCCCGGATACGAAGGCACCATCGAACTGCACATGAAAACACAACCCACGCGATGTAAAGCCCAAATCGCATCTCCTCTTGGGATGATGTTGACAACGATGATCTCCTCCAGGCGATGCAGCCCCATGCCTTTTAATGGGTACGGGCTTATGAGAACATGAACAATGACAAGCTTTTCCAATTCCGGTCCAAAGATTCAAGATGCATCGCCCGACTGGACTCTTCGCTAACAAGTTCGCCGCAAGTCTACTCCGTGCTCTCACCGTTGCCGTGTCCCGATGGTCCCCGCAGACGTAGAGGTCGGCACCCAGCCGCACCTCCCGCAGGGGATCGCTGGGCGGCCGTTGATTGGGCTGCACCATGGGACAGTAAAGGCAACGCTCAGGGCTTGTTCAGCTTTGCACTTGTGATTACGGCTGACGGCATTCACGAACAATCCATCTCATCGAAAGACTTTCTACGAAGGACTCCTGCTCCTCACAAGCGTGCGGTGCCTCCAAGCGGCCAGAGAGTCGGTCCCTGCTTTAGAACCCCAGATTGTCCTTGTGATGGCAAAGCAGTCATCGTACATGCACTCAACGAGCGGAGAAGCTCCTAGCAGCGAGAGTAGATAATCATGCTGACCTGTGCGAAGGGGATGCGGTAAGTTTTGAGGTGTCGCCACGTGGCGGTCTCTTTCCCGAACCAGTCCCTCAGCTCCGCCTCGACCGCGGTCTGCAGGTCCGCATCGGAGCGGTCTGGGTATGCGCCCACCAGCGAGATGGACACCAGGGCTTTGCCAGGGGGGGCGTAAGACGGGGATACACTGCAGCGGAACAGGGGGGGTCAGCACGCCTAGTCCATTACTTGCGTCCTCCCAATATGGCTTTAAAAGAGGAGGCTAAGGTTCTGACATTATTTCCTTAAGTCAAGGGTAAGCGGTCGTCGTTGCGACAACCATGAACGATGAGGCTCCCAAAAACAAAGATGGGCGCTTCGAGAGAAGTACGTGGACGATTCCTGTTCCAAGACGCCGCGAATGCACTTTCCTCGGAAACCACGCTTGTTTGCGAAAGACAGTTGGACGCCAGACTGTCGCGAGCGCGGGCCCCACCTGCTGGGGAAGCACATGTTGTTGATGAGGCCGACTCCATCGCCGTTGAGCAGCAGCACGGGGTCCTCGATCGGAGCGGACGGCTGCACAAAGAAATGCCGTTCAAGGGCTCGTCCCTGTAACCAAGGCTTCGAACCACAGCAAGACCAAAATCGAGTGCAGATTGCGTGCCTAGGCATCTCAATGTAAAAACGGCTTCCTCTAAATGCACCAAAAGACAGCACACAAACGGTAGGAGGTCGATGTCCTACGGCGGCGTAGTAGAGGCACACGGTCCCCCGTGCGTCTCGGGCATCGGAGGGAGTGCTGGAGAGGCCTCCGCCCAAGAGTCGTTGGGCCTGGGGCCCGTCCACCTGCGGCCGCCAGCACAAGGGTCAGACACGGAGCGGCGACATCGGCCCTCCGCCAGACCGAGTGCGGCTAAACTAAGAGTATACGAACCGCTGGACCCGTCACTCCTGCGACCTCGCCTAAAACACTGGACGGCCACTCGTAAAGGAATCAACGCAGCCCGCATATAAGCATTGTATCGGTGAAGTCCCAAGTTCCGGCCCCAGTCGCATCAGCAAACAAGCGCCCTGGCAACAGGCAATCCTTGCTAGTTGCGATAGAAGCACATCCGTACCGCAACGACCACTCCCCTTCTGGCCGCATAGCTGCGGCCGCCAGCGACCCGCACCGTTGCAGGTGCGCCAGCCCTGGCGGGAACCACACTGCTGACGGGGGCGTTTAGCACAACAGACTCCGACGGAAGCCCGGAAGCGAGCTGCAGCGAGAAATGCATGGACTGCTTAAGGTCACGGAAACACAACGTCAAACATGTGCATGGTGAAATCCGTAAGATCCGCATCAAGGACTCCTTGTAGTTGCTCTTCTTCGACAAGAAAGACCCTACATGTCGTCACTCTCGCGCATGAACGCTTCTCAAAGCTGCAAATTACCGTCTTCCCGCAAGAGCGGCCGACCCCATCTCACAAAGTTCGAGCCACAAATCGAGCAGAGTCGTCGACAGAGTGGATTCGCAAGATTAGTCGGTGGTGATAGTGATCCATCAGTGCTGCATACAACCGCGAAAAAGGTCAGCAGAGGCAAGCGAGTGCCAGCAGACGCGTTGAAGGTTGGCTGGCGGGGCTGCACCTGCTCGGGGATGGCGGCAATGCCCTGGACGGGGAGCGTGTTGTCCCCAAGCGCCAACACCTTGATCACGAAGTCGAGGAGCCTGCACAAGAAGGCAGGCGTCGGCTAGCAGGACTTTGACAACGAAGATGAAAGCGAGGGAGCAACGGACAGCCTATCGTCCCCTCCTCATTGGACTCTAGACCTATCAAGAGAGTGGGCCCAAAAGGAAGGAGCAGTGGAAAGTCGGGGAGGGCGTCATCGTGCAGAACCCCGGGAAAGATGCTTTCCAGACCCTCCTCACCATCGTATCTCGTTCGCTTTCTCAAAAAACGAGAACCAAGAGGCAAAGACGATATGAACGAACTTGAAGTCAGAAAAATAAAGTAGAATGGTGGTATCATAGCTTGGAACAAGATCGAATTGGAACAGAAGGTTACCTGTTGCAAAGCAAAGCAACAGACACCAAATGTGGATGTAGAAAACCTGGTTGACCCTGCCACGATAAGCATACTATATTCAGTAGTACTAAGAACCTCAAATCGTGCTTCTGACTTTTAGCAAACATGCCCAAAGTCGCTCAGTCGCTAAGGGCATGGACAGACCGGACCGTTTCTTAAAAGGAAAGTGGAGTACAGAAATAACTCCTTAGTCTGCAGGACTGGAGGCACTTATGCTCTGTTAGTAGCTCAATAAGGCTGTGGCACGACATCACGAAACTGGAGCAGCTGCCACCAACCTGGATGTTGTAGTGAGGTCCCTGTCAAAGAATATACCCCCCAAGAATGGCCGGAAGAAGCGGTCAATCTGCACGGAAGACAGTCTGGATCAAGAGAAGCTGCACGGTGGGTCTCCCGACCAGCAACCTATACCCTCGTAAAGTGGTCAGGTGTGTGACAGGACTTGCACATGAAAGAGCCTTGTCTGTATGATGACCGGCCAGGAGCGGACCAGGATTGCGGACAAGGACTATGATGCATCCTCGCAAAGACTTGAGTACTCCAAGACAAGTATGACAAAGCTCCATGGCAGCGGGCTCACCATTGCTGATGAGAAACCTTCCCGCCTGAGCTTGTCAACAATGGAGGTCTCCGGTGCTGACAAAAGGTCAGCATCGCTCTTGATGAGCACCTTGAGTCGGAGCTGCACAAGAGGCACAGCAAGCTCTAGCTAAAATCCTCTCGAATTTCCTACAAGCTTGGCCCGTCAAACCGAAACGGTCATAGCCAGGTAGACGGGCCGTCAGAATGGTATGCTTCGCCTTTGATTGCCATTCCTGTACCAGTTTATGACGTATGCCCTTCAAAAGGCAACTCTTTCTGTATGGTGAATCAGAGCCTGTCTGTGGTCTGTCCTTGTTTCATGTGAAGTAAAAGGAGGAGTACTCTTATAGGTGGATGCCAAAAACGTCGTTGACAAGAGAACTGAGAAGAATCAGGATTTGTTTTGCACTTACAAGTCCAACCCGTAACTTGTCAAGAACGTTGCCGATGGGGTGAGTGGGGCTGAGGGAAGCCACACCATCGAGGGGGTGCCGGAAAGGATCCTGTACCAAAGACAAGTGTCAGCGGGCGTTGTAATGTAGCCTCATTATGAAGAACGAGAGTAAGCATTCATAACCCTGAGAAAAAGCAGATTTTTTGGGGGCTCAAGTATGGCTGCGAGCGAGAACTCACCGCTACTCTGTGGAACTGGCCACGAAACCGCACAAAGGCCCCAGAGTAAAAGGTCCTCAAATCGAGCGCCTCGTAATCAAGCACTTTCTTGCACTCTGCACATAAAGGATGAGCAATAGTTGTGCAAGAGCGGCCGGACACTTCTCTGCAATGCCAAGGGGCTGCAAGTTTCCTCAAAGATTCAACCAATTCAAGATGGGTGTCCCAGTTCAATCAATCAGCCCATCGTAGTGAACTTGCTTCTTTATCAACTGGCCCGTCGGCATCTCAGAACTTTTCTTGACCCGCCGTCAGCGGCTTTAATGAGTGGCACTTGCCTGGGTAAGCTGATAGGAAGATCTGAAAGCCTCGGTCTAAGAGAAAGCCGTCATCTGTCACGTCTGTCCGCACCCGTCCACCGACGCCATCAGATGCCTGCAATCATATTCAGGATTGCATAAAAGCAGGGCAAAGGCTTCCGCAAAACTTTTCATTGCCTCAGCATGGACGGGTAGCTAAAATTGCAGCATCGCCAACTAGGATACGAACACAGAAAACATCTAGGCAGGAGGGTGGACTAACCTCAAGTAACCGGAATGGAATGCCAGCAGCATGCAGAGTCCTCGCACATGCTAGCCCTGCCAGACCTGCCCCGACCACCACCACATCCGTCTCCTCCGCTGGCACCCCATTCCTTCTATTCTCTTGCTCTCTAGCTTCTACAGCATCAACCTCTTGAGAAGCTGCATTCCCATCTTTCTGCTCCCATGGCCACTTGAATGCAGCACACACGTGCCTGCAGTGGCGCCAAGAAGGAAACCCTGATTGTGGGTTAAGATGCTCAGCTGCAAACTGGACTGAACTAAGGTGCGTGTGTCTCAAAGCTTTTCTTGCAGAGCAGGGGCCCCGTTGTTGCTGTCCACCCAGATTCTGGTGGCAATGTGGCTGACCACTGTGGCACTGCCTGGGCCCAGACTTCAATGCAGTTTGATGGTCGGTTTGATGACGAGCAACTAGTTGGCCTCTGGCACATGGCGCTTGCTGCAGCTGCGCAATCGCCATGTCGGAAGGAAAAGTGCAATGGATTCACTGCGTTGCACCCCGAACTTTACCTCGACTTGCCAAAGCCTAACGTGATGGCTGCAGCAGCTCAAGGAGGAAGTTGGAGCAGATTTTGAAGAGTGTCATGGCATTGGCATGGGGTAGTGCAAGGAAGGAACCTGGAGCGAAGGCATTGCACGAAACTCAAGCCCCTTATGAACGCCAAAGTAGAGCGTATATGCCGTGATAGACTGCTTATACTTCCATTCTCGCTAGCTTTTCTCTAGACCGCTTCGTGCATGCCAGGGATAAGTGTTATACTGTTACATCTGTGCATGCCAGGTGTAAATCTGATATTCGGTCCGAGCATCCAACATAGGTAGGCCAGTAATATTGGTTGCGCTCAAAAAGCTGCTGTATTACAAACAGAAAATTCGCCATGACTCATGACTCATGAGTGTTCTGCAGGGTACCCGTCCAGACTCCAGATTTAGAAAGTTGTTGGGCCATCTCGCACTGGCAGCGCCTTCGGATTTCTTCAGGGTGAAGGCTGCGGAAACAGTGCTTATCGAAACTTTGTCTCTGAGGTCTCATCATGGCCCCGGGCCTCAGGGCTGCGACGTTTGATCTCCAAGGACCGTGCCCAGCAGGAACGCTGCAGTTGCAAGCACCCCGCTGCGATCATGGAGCGCCGTGTCAAGATCTGAGAGCCTTACCACGGCATTGCTCAAGAAGTGATGGTTTGGGGTCCTTGCTTCGATCCTCTCACCATTTCACGGGGTTTTTGGACCATGTCCAAGCCAAAAGTAAAGCAAGCTTCCCCAGGCCTTGTACGCGCGCTGTTTTAGATGTACCACCACTTGCCAGCACGCCAGACCGACCCCTAGAGAAGGAGTTGGCAGACTATACGCAAAGCAGAGTGGCACAATCGACAGATACAGCCCGCCCAAGTGCTTCAGACGTCGCCAGCTCGAGTGGCAGTGAAAGCTTGCCGAACAATGCTGCCGGTCCGACTGACAGCGAAAGCCTGTTGCAAACGGATGAGATTCGACCGCCACGGGGAGAAACTGCAGGAGCGGTGAGCTGATTATGTGCTTGGGCGGGTTACGCCCTTACCTCTGAGTCAGAACCCTAAGGGGAACCCTAAACCATTGGATGCTGAGTAAGCCCTGGGTCTGTCCTGGGTGCTGAGCCTGATAAGATTCTTGTCGGGGCTGCCCAGACTTTTGGTTGACTGGCTGGGTGTGCGCTGCGACTGGCCCCTCCTGAGAAGGGGCAACCTTACAAGCAGCTTGCAATGCTGTCATTTCCTGACAAGGGTTTCTTTGATGTGATATGATGTGAAGCCTTCACTGCTTGGGATCCACTTGTGTTGCTGCTGGAGATGTCGATTGGGGCATTTCTATATCGGAGGGGGATGCTGATCTTCTTGGAGTGCAGTATTGAAAGGAGTCGCAGAGGCATTTACAACCTGTTACGCCCATATGGTCCGCTAGACCGGCCGGCTTGCTTGGCACTTCTCTCTTTCTGCAGCGTTTCTGCAGTCATTGACTTCGCGCGTTATTGTACAGGTCCTTGTGGTGGAAGACGCAATCATCAGTGTGGGCGGAAATGACCTGTTGAAAGGTAGGTTTAGTCGTGACCCAACACTTACTTTGTGAAGTATTTCCCCCTTGCATTGTTTTGTGCCCCCCACTACTCTGGCAGCAATAGCTTCTCAGAGGATAACAGGCACAGAGTCTTCTAATCAGATGGCGGTGGCTGGGAAGTGATTTTTGAAGGATTCATCTGCTTATGGTTTAAGGCCACTCACAGCAGCCTCTTCTTAGACTGCTCAGGTGCCCACTTACCCAATGGTTTGCACTCTTCCAGATGCCAACCTGCGTCTTGTTCCAAAGCAAAAGATTGCAGTTGTTGGGCCAAACGGGGCTGGCAAGTCAACATTGATTCGGGCCTGTGTCGGCAAGCTCGCCCCAGAGGGTGGGCGGATAGTGGTGTCTCGCGGAGTGCACGTGGGTTATCTGGAGCAAACTGCGGTTAGCGGCTCTGACCGCTCTGTCTGGGACGAGGCTGCCTCGCGAATGGATGACATCAACCAAGCCTGGGCAGCGGTCACAGCGGCAGAGGAGGAGCTAATGGAGGCGGAGGAGAAAGGCCTAGCAGACAGACAGGTGGAGGCGATAGCAGAGCGACTGATGGAACACCAGGAAAGGTTGGAGGCGGTGGGCGGGTATCGGAAAGACGAAATGATAGCTAGGTGAGATCATGGATTCGGTGCCCCTACCTGTCTTTCCGAAATGAGATCGATCAAGGGCTGCTTGTTGAACGGATCTCGACCCCTGGAGCTGAAGACCGGCCAGCATAGTTAAGCAAAGTTGCCCTGCCATTTATCCCTGCTTGACAGATCAAGGATGATGCGTCAGGTCCACTCGCCGCAACTCAGACGTTGGCGACTAAGTATCACAGAAAGGAGTCGTTGCTCTGATGAGTCCCGTTGCGTCCTGCTCAAACTGTCCTGCCCTTACAATATTGTGGCGTGCCTATTGCAGCGTCCTGGACGGGCTAGGCTTTGCCAAGTCTGACTGGGGGAAGAAGTGCAGTGAGTTCTCTGGCGGTTGGCAGATGCGCATTGCGCTGGCGCGTTTGCTGCTGAGCACGCAGTCTGCCTCGCAGGGGGGCAAGAAGGACACACTGGTACGTTGGGCGTTTTTGATGTGATTGTGCGAACTGGATTTGAAAGAAGATGTCGATTGTTACTTGCACTACTTTAACTTCTCATGCTTCCGTCTAGGTTTTGGATGCGCCGACACTAGCAGGAGCATCATCAAGCTCGTCTTGTTTCCTTCTTGCAAGTGCAGAGTTACGTCACTCCTCTTGCAACCAGCTAGTATGGTACTGTCCCCAACGTTCTCAAGCACCACTGACCATATTTCCTTGCGAGGCTTTCATCACCAGTGGACCCCTTAAATTGAAAAGTGTTTGAATAACATCCAGCCTGGGACAGTCGATAGACACCGTTAAGCACTCGTCGGAAGCGACATCTTGCGGGAGGTAGCGGAACCGGCCGGAGCATCATTGAACTTTTGTGCGCTGCAGTTGGTGCTGGACGAGCCGACCAACCACCTGGACGTGGCGGCCCGGCAGTGGCTGGCGGGCCATCTGAAGGCGTCAGACAGTGCGTGCATGCTGGTGACGCACGACGAGAATCTGCTGACCAGCATGGGCGTCGATCGGATTGCCGAGGTTGCGCGCGGCACGCTCGAGGTCTATAACTGCGGCTACCAAAAGTTCCTGACGGAACGTGCCGCGCGCCTCGACCAGGTGGGCCACTTTTTCTTCGTTGCCTTGTCTTTCACAGCGGCTTTAACCTGCTTTTGTCAGTCACTTGGAGGCCGAAACATCCTGACTGGGTTTTCGCTGTCGTCAACGTGTTGTTGGGAGCGAGGTGGGCACGTTTCCTTTGGCATGTTCCGAAATTGTGCCTTCACTGACTGGTGCGACCCCTGTTGAACGCTGCAGGCTGTGCGCGCGTACGAGAAGCAGCAGGCGGAGATTGCGCACATGCAGGAGTTCGTGAACAAGCTGGGGGCCAAGGCCACCAAGGCGTCCGCGGCACAGTCGCGCCTCAAAGCGATTGCACGCATTGACAAGCTGGAGGCCCCCGTCACAGACAAACCCAAGGCGCGAGTGAGTATGTTACCTGCTTCAAGAAGACGGAAACGGCATCCTCCTTGAACTAACTCAGGACTAAGCTGAACGGCCGCTGCCTATTTGCCCGCACTTCCAGTCTTCTAGCTCTTGTTTATGTCGCTGGTATGTTTGTGCGGCGCAAGAGGTACACGTCCAGTCTGCCCGTGTTCCCCTGTCCTTCTTGATTGCTTCTTTGCTGCAAGTAGCCCTTCTTCGAGCCAGGGCCGTCGTGCGTCACACGCCCTGACAGTCTCCATGCCGTGACAGGTAGCAATCAACTTGCCTGCGCCCCTGCCGTCGGCCGTGGAGGTTCTCAAGCTGAAGGACGGGGTGGTGGGCTGGACAAAGGAGGCGCCCCTCATCCGGGACGTGCAGTTCTGCATTGAGCGGGGACAGAGAGTGGTGAGCGGGCCCCGATTTTGTGTCGAATAATTTATGGTAACACCGGCAGTTGTTCGCGCTTCCTGTGAGGCACGCAGTGCTCATGGCGCGGGTGTGGCCGGTCCGCTCTCCGTTTATCCTTGTAGGGTCGTTCTAGTAATCTCACTGCCTGATCGGACGGCATCGCCAGAAGCATGTTCGTCGTTTTTGTCCGACATCCCCGCTTCGTCTCGCCCCTTTGCCCTCCGGCGCCTCTTCTTTCCACCCGGCGCTTTTCTAGCTCCTGGGTCTTTGAGTCATACCGTCGAGAAAAGCATCTTTGCATCAGCAACCCTGCGGTGTCTGAGCCTGCCACGTGGCCTTGCTGTGCTCAGGTGCTGCTGGGTCCCAACGGCGCGGGCAAGTCGACGCTGCTGCACAGCCTGGCGGGGCGCCACCCGCTGCAGGGCGGCCAGCGCATCCTGGGGCGGGACGCCAAGCTGGGCGTATTCACACAGGATCTTGCGCAGTACCTGCCGCAGGACAAGTCGGGCTTGGACTACCTCATGGACGTAAGTTCTTACGCTTCGTTCGTTGCCTCCGACCACACAAGGCCTTTTTCTTTTGACCGCACCTCGCTTTTGAGCTCCTTAAGCTGCTGAGATGACTGGTTCGAGGACGATTGAGAGATGTTGCTGATTCTTGAGGAGGCCTTCGAATGGAGTCTCTGCGCCGTCCAAAGCGCGTTTGATTTGACAGCAAGTCCCTGGGGATGCTTGACAATCTCTCGGATGCAGCAACCCTGTCTCATGTCTGCTAGAGCAGCTTCGAAACCGTACCGGATGTCAGCCTCTGAGTGACAGCTCTAATCTGCCCCCCCTGCCAGGTTGCTTCGGAGGACGGTACACACCTGACCCTCGAGCGCGGCCGGTCCATGCTCGGAGCTCTGGGTCTGTCGGGCGACAAGGCCCTGCGGCCGATCTCTGCGCTCTCGGGGGGGGAGAAGGCGCGGGTGGCGCTGGCCACGTTTGTGCTGCGGCCGTGCAATGTCATGATGCTAGACGAGCCGTCCAATCACCTGGACAAGGCGACCATTGAAGCGTTGACGGCCGCGCTGAAAAAGTGGGGGGGCGCGATCCTGGTTATCTCCCACGACCGCGAGTTTTGCTCCGCGCTGGAGCCGACGCATGTGGCGCGCGTGCTGCCGGGAGGGGGCTTCGAGATGCGGCATACGCTACTGGGGGAGGTTGAGTTTGGCGATCCGGCGGAAGGAATCACGGGGCGGGAGGACGTAAGGGAGAAGCCGGGTCAAAAAGGGGTCGTGGGACCGGAACTGGACCGGAACGGGTTGAGCAAGAAGTTGAAGGAGGTGAAACGGCGCATTGCCAAACTAGAGGACTCCATTCAGCAGGAAGAGAAGGTATGCGCGCAGTGTGATGAGAGGATGTTGGCGGCCGGAGCTGACGTGCAGAAAGCGATGGCGGAGCAGAGAAAGAAGGTTGCGAGCCAAGCGAAGCTGGCCAAGTACGAGGAGGAGTGGGAGACAAGAGAGGAGGAGCGGGAGTCGTTGCAAAAGTTGTGGGATGCCAGCGGCTTCACGTGAGACCGTCAATGATTTTTGGCAGACTCCAGATGGACTTCTGCGCATTCAATTTGAGCACGCACACCGTTAAGAAAGTCGCATATCACTACTTGAGATACTAGAACGAACCCGAAGGTTGCAACAATTGTTGATTATATAGCACTCGAGCATATAGCTCTCGAAGGTAGAGAGTGGTCCCAGATTATAAGCAAAGCTGTCTGACTTTCTTTGAATCAACATTCTTTGAATCAACATCCTACTATCTTCGTAAGCCACTGCTGGACATCGAGATCTGCCGAGCTTGCACTCCTATAGGCGCTGAACGACCGTCCGATTAGCGCAGCGCGGCTAGTGCTTCCAATCAGTTGGGTCGGGACATCGCAACATGACGAACCGTGAAAGCACGCGGCCGCCATTACTCAAGGATAGACACATGCTCTATATGTCCGCTCGATTGCAGCCGGCCTGCACAGCCTAAGTTTGTGATAGCTATACATGCAGTGTCGTGCCCTGAGATAAGCTTATGCTAACTGTGGTGTTTTGTCCGATATATTAGGTACAATGACATGGCCGTCATGCACTAAGATGCTGAAAGTTTGAGCCGTCTATATATTGGTGCTCATGTGGCGGCGTCTGATGCATGTAGTTTTGCAACGCGCCTTGAGAAGGTTGATGTTTTGAGTGGTTACAACATATATCTTGTTGCATCATATATATTTGGCAATATTCGCCTCATGTCTATTGCGCGACGTATTTTCTGCTTGCCGCAGCGGCTTGCAGCTCTTACTGAGTTGGTGCTAAGCTGTAGAACGCCGGTCACATTCCCATCGGTTCGAATCCCGATTGCCTATGCACGACTCAGCCTTATTTGTCTATATTTTTAGATGCTGGCAAGGCCACAGGAGTCGACCAAATGTGCTCAGTATGAAGACATCACAAACGGTTAAAATATCTTTATGATACAAAAATCCTCCCGCAATGTGCGACCCGGTCCATGTACGTAGACCTCATCGATAAATATGTACAAGTAGATAACAATAGGAGTACCTAGCTGATTGCCCTCAAAATACGTTATCGACCATGATGGTCTTCCGCAATGGGCTAAGCATTACCATCGACCTTTTTGACCGACCGCCCAATCTTATATAAACCGATCAGCGCGGTTATAGCAGCTCTAGTTCGAAGACGCGTCAGTGAATGGACAAGCCGTTCCCAACAATGGTGGGCACGGTTGGCGCCTGCATGGCGACCTCTTTCACCGGGGCCTTGTCGTCTTTCCCCCCCGCGGGGGCGTTGAGCACGCCGTTGTCGGCGTAGTCTGAGCTCGCGAGGCTCTGGTAGGGGGCCGTCCCGATGAGGCTCAGGATCACGGGGAGCGCCACCAGGCCGTGCCACAGCCCCAGCAGCACGATGCCCGAAAACATCTGGAAAAATCACAGAGAATTAGCGCCTCAGATCTTTCTTCCAGCGTACACTGATTGAATGCTCCGATCGTCTTGACTCTCTGTCGCGGAAGTCCAAATGATTGATCTTGTGACCAAAGCCCTCGTTGTTTTATTGATTGCGGGTATTACTGCAGTTCACATTTCCAATGCTCGGGAACAAAGACGACATAAAAGGGATTTGGCCTCTTCAAACTTTCACTGAAGCTGCGCCTCAAGAGAAGCGAAGCAATCGAATCTGCGGCGGTGCCGTCCACACATGAAAAGGTCCCAGCCGCGTCGCACGCTAGCGCGCGCGCACTTTCTGCCCCCCTCACCTTGAAGAAGGTGCGGAAGATGTACGACTGCGCGCCCGCGCAGCAGACGATGGCGAGGAAGACGGTGAAGCCGCCGTTGAAGACGGCCACGCCCAGGCGCGCGAGCGCCTTCTTGGCGCGCGCGTCGCGCGAGCCGTGCGAGTCCATGAAGGAGTAGGCGATGAATGCGGAGTAGTCGACGGCGATCCCGATGGCCAGCAGCAGATTGATGGCCGTCACGGCGTTGAAGCTCAGGCCCAGCCAGTGCAGCGACCCCACCAGCTCCACGTCCACACACACCACCTGCCGCGGAGTGGCCGAGAGCTTAGGTAAGGAAAAGGAGAAGCTAGGTAGGATAAGGTTATGGCCGTTTGATGGGTGAGTTTAGGGTACAAGGTCAGAGTCAGTAGAAATGCGAAGCGCGTACTTCTGTACTTTTACTTTTGTCGCGGCCTGCACTGTTGTTATCATATGCTACTGAGTACGTACGGCGGAAGGGGACAAATCTTCCGTCAACACCTTCTCTAGAAGGAAAAACGATTGAATGAGCCTATGGGCCGACAAAGCACTGACAAATCCTGATTGGCTATCTTTTCCGGTTGGCGAGATTCGGGCGAGGGCAGAGACTATGCTTGTGACAGCGCTTTGGACAGATCGTAAGCTAACCAGAGCACAGGCGACTTGGCGTTTCAGAGGTGCTACGAAATCTCTCTAAGCGGATGGAGGGCTCTTGAAGGACAAGGGAGAACGGGCTCGCTAGAAAGGCTCTGCCGAGATCTTCCGTTCGGTTACTCTGGCGGCTGTGATTAGGGAAGGGCGTGCCGTTAAGGGAAGGGCTTCTCACCATGGCGCCGACGGCGATGGCGGCCACGAGGTCCCCGAGCAGCACGATCATGATGACGAACACCACCGACCCCGCGATGATGACGTCACGCAACGTATCCCACACGATCGACTCGTAGCCCTGCATCCGAAGGCGCGTGTTAGAGCTGGATTGCGGAGCCCTTCTGAGGAAGCATAGCAAGAAGTACTAAAGAGCCGAAGCAGGACACAATCGGCTGCTACAGTGACAGTGGCGTCAGGGTGACGTCACCGCTGCTGAGAAGGTGACGGAGTGACTTGCCTGCCAGAAGAGGAACGCGTCCGTATACGCGATGCCGTTGAGGGTGGGAGCGGCGCTGAGCGCGATATCCCGCGCCGCATTCATGGCGTCCACCTGCGGCGAGGAACGGTTCGATGAGCTCAGAACGCCCAAACCTAGTCAAGTACAGTCCTCAAAAAAGGGTCAACAACATTTCCAAGAAGGGTGTCGGATCTAACTGAGAGGAAAATTGGCCGGAAAGGGTGAGTGGATGTCGCTGCCGACAAGCCCCGACAGCTCGTCTTTCAAGCGGTTTCAACTTTGGGCGTCTCTTCACGGGGCTTGAGAAGCATGCGAGGCGGCGCGGCTGACGAAGGAAGGTATTCGCTGGTCTCGCTGCATGCAAAAGGGCGCAAGAACGAAACCTCTGAGCAGGCAGAGAATCAGCGGAGCAGCACATCCGGTTCTCTGACCTGGTACCGCGAGTTGGGCGCGTTCTTGAAGTAGGCCTGGACCTTGGTTGCCCTGACGCTCGTCCGGTTGCCGTCGAAGAAGATGACGTCACGCACGTACCGCGCGCCGCTCGTGTCCAGGAACTCGGCGAGCCAGGCGTGGAAGTCGGCGGACGTCCGGGGCAGCCCCGCGGCGGACAGCGCGGCCGCGTGGCTGCTGGTGGGCAGCCACGCCACGTAAGCAGCGTACCACGAGTCAACCGGGGGAATGGTTGCAACGTAAGGGCTGGCCTGCACGGACGCCCGGAAAGCAACCGGTGAGTGCGGACGGCTGGGCATGTTTTGGGGTAACGGCCAAGCCGCTGAAATGCAACGTTGCGATTGCAGTCGGAAGAGGTCCTTCCCTCGCGGCCTCTTAACGTCTTAGTTCAGGAAAAGCTTTCAAATCACAGGTTTGCTAGAAGTATGAAGCACTATGCGAAACACCAGGCACCCCACAACGAAACAAAGAGAAACTCTTCGGACCAAGCAGTCTCAAGCTGCTGACCTTGAGCTCGGTGGAAATGGCCTCGAGCTCCTGCTGGTGCGCGAAGTAGTCCAGCGGCGGCTGCGCCAAATTCTTGGTGTAGACGCCGAAGGGCACCACGTTGCCTGCGAACAGGGGCGCGCGTCACAAGGCGAAAGCGGTGTTGGCGCGTGTAGCATTTTGAAACCGTTTACAAGCGAGCATCAAGCTGGTGGAATTTGGATCCGTCATCTGCATCAAACATCTTATATCGCAAACGCGCGCCGGACGATCGAAAATAAGAGTCGATTAGACAGACTAGCGCAAGAAGAGCCGTTGAAAACAATCAGCACTACGAGCACTGATAAGTCTGCGACGCACTGCCAATTCCAAATCTCCAGCGTTTCCCTGATTCTCCAACTTCTAAGTAAGCAGGGGTTGGCTGGTGTCTCGATCCGCGCGCGCTCACCTTGGAAGTACTGCTTCTGCACCTTCAGCACGTCCTGGTAGTAGCTCTTTTGCGGCACGAACCAGTCGCCGTCAAAGTTCTGTCATAGACGAACAAAAGTGTACATCAGAGTCGCACTTCCTAGTTGAATCGTGTTGCATACATGTGCAATGAAGGTGCTGGTCAATCCACTCGTTCTGATAACAGCCAACGATTCCCGTAATACCAGCTCTTACAGTTTGTTGAACAGGAGAAAAGAGTACCCTTTGATTGGTTGTTGTTTCTTTTAGAACGAACGTATGCAAGACGTTTTAGAAGCGCTTCACGTGTGCCGCCTCACCTGCTGCACTTGTACCGCGCCCGCGACCCCCAAAACCAGCAGCCCCACCGTAATTGCCATCACCACAATCTTGCCCGCCCAGTGCAGAATGGCGGCCGGTAAGTACCTCCCGATCAGTCGCTGGCTGATGTTATCCCCGCCCGGGGTGAAGGTTCCGACGCAACCGCGGGTAGGCCCGCGGCTGGTCTGTATGCAGCAGAGCCAGTCGACGCGGTTGGCGGCCTGGCGGCGCATGTCCAGCAGGAGGCACGCCGCGAAGAAGGTCGTCTGGTAAACGAACACGAAGATCACCTGCAGGGATGCGTGACTTTGAGGCGAAGTGTTCTCCTTCGAAACATTGACAGTTCGGGTACAGTTTGGGAGAAAACGTGATGGTAGATTTCGACAGAACGGCAGTAGGAGAAGTGGGTTGGCCAGACCCCGCGACTCGTGAGCGGTACGGTTTAGGCATATGGCCAAAAAGCAGGGCGTTTCCTCAACTTCAACTGCAATGAACGAACATTCCAGGCCCTGAGGGTAGAAGCAAAGCTCGACAAAACAGGGTGGAAGATAGGATTCAACAGGCAAACTAGAGGTACTGGCAGCCGAACTGCGGGTGACGTGTCAGCGGTGCTCACCCCGGCTGCGGCGTAGATCATGAAGCCCTTCAGCGCGGGCAGCTCGGAGCTGATGCCCGTAGCGAACGCCACGAAGTTGGTCGACGTAGTCACAATGCTGCACTCAGAGTGCGCCACGCGTCAGCCCGGCGGGGCTGGCGACAAGACCCGCGCTTGACAACAGGCAGTCAGGCGAATCTCTCTTCTCGTAAATCTGCACACCGCTACTGTAGATTCACACCGACAACAAGTGTCAAGGCACTGACCTCCTGAGACGGCAGCAACTCCAAATTGTCATTCGGACCGAATGGAATGAGCAGATTTGAGCGGCAAGAGACGGACCGCCGGCTCACATGCCGCGGCCGGCCTTGGCCATGGTGGCGGAGAGGCGCTGCGGGAGGGAGAGGCCCTTGTCGGCGGTCTCCTGGTGGCTCGCCATAATGACCAGCATGTCGTCCGTGCCCAGGCCAAGCAGCAGCAGCGCCAACACCTGCGGAGGGGAGCGAGCGGGGAGGGGGTTAGGGACAATAGTCTCGAACTCGATTTTTATGGCCACACTTTACTGGCACTTTCGAAAAGGTTAAAAGCCCGAACGTCATGTCTTGCCCGCTCTGCATTTGTGCCCACCCTGGACCCCACTCTGACCCGCCACTTCCGGGCAGTGGGCTTAACATACATGGCCCGTCTACTGGATCACGCAATTCCGAGTCTTTAGTTAGGGATGGAGGGAGTGACGCTGGTCAGGGCGCATGGAACGGCTTGGGTTGAAGGACGAATTGGGTAAGAGCAACTGGGTATTGAAAAACAACCAATCTGAGTCGGAAGAGTTATGCACCTGCTTGGCCGCATCAAAGACCCCCCGGCTCATGGTCGAATTCAACGGGGCATCGAAGTCAGTTTCCAGGGCACACAATTTCTCACCCCTACAAAATGGAGTGCTCTCGCTGCGTTACAAAGGTGATCGGACTCAGTTTGCTTTCAATCATTCAGGCAAACTGCTCGTGAGACTGCACTCGCGCGGCGGAGCCCCACCTGTTCGACGAGGCTGAACTCGGTCCCGATGGCGCTGGCAAAGCCAAAGGCGCAGACGACGGCCAATAAAATGCTCCCGATGGACGCGACCGCGAGCCAGGACGCGCTGGAGACGGGGTGGTTCTTGGCCAATACGACGAGGCCATAAGCGGCCAGCAGGATATAGCCCACCACCAGCAGGCTGATGTCAGCGCTGATGGCGCTGTCCGACTCGTACTGCTGGCCGTACTCGGTGGCGATGTACGGGGCGATGACAGTGCGGGGGGAGTGCTGGGAGAATTGAAAGATGGGGTTAGTATGATGATTTCGAGGGCACTGGTCTGACGTCAGCTGAGAAACGACTGGACGATTCGTGGCTGCTTCGCCACTCGACGCAGGAGCATGCGGCGAGTTGGTGACACGCTCCTGGTCTCGGGCCTGTTCGAGCAGATTTGTGCAACTTCAGAGCGCTTGCTCAAGCAAACGCTGATTTTCGACTTGTTGCAGGAGAAGCCGCCAAAGCCTGGCAGCGAAGATGAGGCAGGCCGACAACAAACGAGCAGGGAACTTCATCCCTTTGCGAAGTTGACTTGAGTTCCCTTAAACATGATCAGAACACCTGAGCTGCTCCAAGAAGAGGCATCCGTTTGCTGAGGACAAAAGAGAGGATCCGCACCTTGTTGATCACATCAATGGCGCCCTTCTCCCAGGCCTCCACGTAGTCGTCCTTGGAGCTGGAGTCAATCTTGGGCTTGTTGTTCTGGTTGTTGATCTTCAGCTGGAAAGCCGCCACGGACACCACCTTGCCTGCCGGGTCCGTCACCACCCCGCCCATCACCTCCCCCCGGTTGATGGACCGGCCGAGACCGTCCTGCAAAGGAAATAGGTCTATCCGTGTTGGGCGGTCGAGGAAATGTGAACGAAGAACCTGGTCGCCTTTCCAAGTCGTCAACAGTCGACATTCCGGGAAAGAAAGTTCTATAATGGGTGTCTGAGGAGGAAGATATGTCTTATCTAGAGGGTGACCTTACTCCCCGCAAGAGGTGCTGAATGGACGCTTCCTAAAGCGCATTGGTCTGCAGTTGACATGGATCAGGTCTTCATTGCATAGTGCACAGACTGTGCACACGGAAAGGGATCAAACCTGACAGGAAATGCACAACAACCACACTTGGAGAACTCGTAGATCTAAAACAACCCGGGAACATTAGAATCCAAGGAATGATGTTCCTGTCTTACAGTTCCTGGGTTGGAGACCGTGAGTGCGATATCCGGGTCTGCCTCGATGGCTGCCGCGCTGTAGTTCCAGTATGCAAGCACGCTTTTGATGTCGCACGGTGTGCCAGGGCCGCCGGGTCGGTCGCAGATGCGCGGACTCTCCAAGTTGAATGTGATGCCGGCGTTGGTGGCGTTGAAGCTGTGAGGGCAAACAGAGTGTTTGTAATTGCCCTTTAGAAACTCGACAGTTGGAGTTCGAAACTCAGAGACTGCGTATGGATGAGACAAGATGCTCACAACTGTGATTGACCAGAATGCCGTTAAATGCAGAGAAAGTGTAGTACCCCAGTGCGTCATTATCTGAGTGTCGTTGCATTGATTCACAGTCAGAGATGAAAGCAGGACAAGGTCAATGATTGGTTTGGAGCACCCATAACCTGTTGGTGGTGCTTTCAGCAGCTCAAATTGTGTGGCTTCTACAGATTTGCAGTTCAATGTATTAATCAAACCAAGAAGCATGTTACATGCTTGCAGTAAACAGACTCAGATTCTCCTGAAAGCAGGCAGCTTCACATTGGTTCTGCAGTGCAGCTTACCTTGCCAGATTGTTGTACACATCAAGGAAAGCCAGCAGTGCAGGCTTTGTGAGGATGTTGCTGTTGGAGTTTTTTGGGTCTGTGATGAAGACAACAGTCTCCCGGTCTGGGAACCGGAAGATGGTGTTCACAAAGGCCCTGTCAGTGAAGGCCTGGCTGTTCTGTGGAGTGTACAGCTTCTCCTGGTTGTTCTGGATCTGAGGATACCAAGAGAGGAGAGAATTGGACGTCGGTTCCTTGAACAGGCACAATCGACAAGCAACTTTAGTAAACATAGTGGCTAGTGGGGAAGCCAAAAATGATCCCCAATACTGATTCAGCTGAGCATGCTGGAGTCAAAGCAAGGGGTGACAGTTGAATTTCTATTCAGTTGTGCAATGCTCTTTCATCAGGCCGCACGGCAAGCAGGTGCGCACCTTGAAGCGCAGGAGGCCAAGCGCAAACAGAAGTGTCAGAAGGATGGACCCGGCGATGACCAGCAGCGGCCGCTTTCCGGTGAACAGCCCCACTGCCCCGAAAGTGGCCTTAAGCCCGTCGTCCACCATAACTCCAAACTTCTTGAGCTGGTTGTTGAGGGGCGTCAGCAGCGGAATGTGGCAACCGCGCTCTTCGGGGGCATTCTTCTCCGCCATTGCGCCTCCAAAACGAGCGCGATGCTGAAATGAAGTAGCTGGAAAGCTTTGCAGTGGTCTTTGCGTGCTTGGACTCTGATGCTGCTGATGGAAGCGCGCCGTCTGGGCTTATAGAGCGGCACTTCAAAGTTTGTGTGATGGTTGAAGGTTTTATAGAAGGCTCTTCAATGGGTCCATGCAAAAGAGCGGCACCTGTTCTGTGATTTTCCAGATGCGTGCTATATTCCTGCAATCCAGACGCGTTTGCTTCGTCTAGACTGCGCACCCCTAGTGATGGAACATTGCAAGGCAACTTGGACTGAGCTTGGAGCCGCCGCACCATTCACAACTTTTCAGCGAGCACGACTACCTTCCTCCGACTTGAGAACACCGTCAGCTAGGGTAAAGTTGTGCGCTCACTCTCGTACTGTAAACTTTCACATGCACCTCTCACTGCGAAACCGACGTCATAATGCTGATCGTAAAGGCCCGTTATTCAAGTATACGGCATCACCTCTGTGAGCGGATAACCAGGCGTCCAGCGGTCCGCAGCGTTTACGGGGCCTCGAGCTTCCGAAGTTGGGGTGCAACTTCGTTCGTTACGTAAGCTCTCACACGTGCGCCCCGTTAGTGAGACGGAAATATTGGACGGCCGCGATGCATACCTAGGTAGTAGGTACGACACACGACGAGAATGTCATCATATCGTCTTATTCCAATCATTGTCGAGATTCTCACAAACAACCCCCGGGGGCCCAGGGCCCAGAGCCGAGAACCTGAAACTTGAAAGCGGTCGGCGGATGGAGCTGCATGGGGTCGGACCGGGGCTTAGTACCTGCCGATGACATATCAGTACTTGATCAGTACAGTAGATAACCGTCCGGGAACCGTCCGAGCATATCTGGCTGCTGATCTGATGAAGCTACTGTCAAAACGCTTGGCTGCGCCGTACTAGGGAGAAGCCCATCTGGCATTATGGCATCGATCGATCCTACGGCTACCCACTGTGTCTAGTACAGTTCATGTGATCAGATTTTAGTTTATCTAGATCACAACTGGCTGTTAAGTGACCGAGCTCCTGTCAAAGAATGATATATACAGCGAGCCGATTTTCAGAAGATCATCGAATCCTGGGAAGAGTTGCATGAGCTCTGTCTCGGACATTCTTAGGAGCCGCTGACAACAATTTCGTAAGACAAGGCAAACACGTCAGACACTCAAAGGAGTTCGCTTTAAGTTCTGCTTGCAAATGCTGACTCTCCTAACACTGAAATCGCAGTGCTCCATCGAAAGAGGATCAACAATCACTCTCTTTACCAGAGTAAGCTCTCAATATACAATTTCTCGTTACCGATTCCGACCGTATGGGGCTGCAAATCAATACCGATTCCTCAACTCTGCCTGTCGCAGCTTGCGAGCGTGTCCTTCTAACCTACTCCTACTCAGTAAGTACAGTGCAGTGCGTCATGCACTTGTTCCGCATTTTCAACTACTCCTATGCTTAAGCTACTTGTCTGTGAGCTCCCTATAGCCTTTCCATCTACCCGGTGCCCGGTTGTTGTGCGTTGCCAAATAGTCAAGAAGGGTCCGGCTCGGGCCGTCCCTGAGCACATGTCCCCGGTGATCTCGCCGCATTGTTTCGCACTGCTCGAAGTGGGTTCGAGCATCCTCCCACTTGCCTATCTTGTACATGTCGAGCCTGCAGGGACGCAAGCACGCACACTGAGCAACATAAGCGTACAACTCTGGTTAGAGCACAAGCACCAGTGAACAGTTATTTGATAAATCTGGTTATTCGCGATCGAATCTGAAGGCGTGCGGATGCAGAGCTGCGCCTGGATAAATGTCCGTTCCGGTTGGAGTTTCTGTACAACGCTTGAATGGCAAATCTCATGGTCATACTTAGCACGGCTGACTACTAGTTAAAACCTCTGCCAATAACATGAAAGACCACGGATTTCAACTCGAACGTTGAGGATCCACGTGATTCACGAGCTGCTGAAGCAAAAAGAGCAGATTGAGCTGTCTAAGAAGGAAAAGATGGACGAAAGTGCTACAACAGGAGAACGAGTCCATCAGAGGACTAGAAGCGAAAGGGAACAACCCAAGACAGCAGCTCACCCCTTCTTGTACACAAAGAGGAACTCATTATCTTTGACGGTCATGTTGACGATGTCCTCGTGCTCCTCAAACTCGTCGTCGAAGTCCTGACAGCTGGGGCTGTCCTCTGGCCCATGCAACACGTTGGGGTCTGCAAGAGAAGGCCGTCCTCTGTACTGCCACCAAGAGTCACGTGGCCAAGCCGCTTGTTCCGAATCCATTGATAGGGCTCGTCAACACAGCAGTCTGTGCAGAGGTAAGCGGAGGAACGGCACCCAAGCTGACAGCTGCCAGTGGAACTTAGCAAACGCTGGCGTTTGAAGGACATGCAGGAAGTCCAGATGCGTAAAACTTCTCTATCGTATTCCTAAGACAGGCACGGAAGCACGGCAACCGCTTGATAAACGAAGCCCAGAATGTCCTGCTTACCGATGAAGCTTGCTGGCCTTGGGATTGCCTCCACATTGACGTCGTAGGTGAACAAGCCAACCGGCATCTCGCTCCCTGCAGCATAAGAAGAGGGACTGCTGAAACGAGTGCTTCTCAGAAGAGGGCGTCTCTTTGACCGTGGCTCGGACGTCGACCCGGCTTTCATGAGTTAGTAGCATCCGGGGAAGCTTCTCGTGTGGGCGCAGCGAGCGAGCGGGGGCCTCACCTTTGACCGACACGGTGTCAATCTGGCGCACGCGCCGCCTTGTCTTGGGCGACAGAATGTCGAAGAACGCCTCGCTCATGAGCAGAGGCACGCCGAACTGCTTTGTGGCGGCCTCCAGGCGGGACGCCATGTTTACGTTGGGTGACAGGTACGACGCGTCGATCTTGTACTCGGACCCGATGGCACCCTCGATGGCCCACCCCACGTGCAGGCCGAACCCCATCTTGATCTGGACAGCAAGTCATGGGAAACTCGAAACCTGCGGACGGCGTATCCATTATTTCGTCGCATCCAGCAAAGGGAAGCTCTGTCTACCTTTCCTGATAAGAAAAGGAGATTATCACCAGGACCGAAGATGCATGCGTTATAGACTCTCGGCTGGAAATCTCTCGTTGGACGGCACTGAGCTTTGCATCATGCTCAATGCTTAATCGACGACGAAGGACACAACCAAAGAATATTGGTTTGCAGAGGCTACAGAAGTTCGTCATTAGAGGAGCCCACCTCGAAGCGGTCCACCTTGAACCTTTTTAAAAGGCCCGGATGGTACGAGAACTGGCCCAGCTTGGCACTGCGCCTCAGTGCTGCCTGGATGGCCAAGAAAGCCGCCAGCGCGCGGTCCGCAACCTGCGGACACGTTTCGAACTCGATTGTAGCTCTGACTGCCTCACTTAGGTCTAGAACACTGCCCGTATCCTGACAGGAGTCATCCTTTGCAAGCAGAGGTGCTCAAAGACCCGAAGAAGCAGAGGGCTTTCACCATAGAATTACCCTGCGAGGGCTGATGAGTACTACCTACCCTTTGCACCTCCACTTTGTCCGTTTCGTTCTCAAATATTCCCCCGGTGTAGTCGATGCTGGCTGGAAATTTCCAGACCAGCAGGAAGGCATCCCCAATGTTCTGACAGAGAAACAGGAAGAGAAGGGTTTATAACCGTGCCCAGCAAGCAAAGAGCATGCTCATGTCTTTGCTTGGGGTCATCGAGCAAAGCACCAGTGGTTTAAGCAAAGGGGCGTAAAAGTTGAACACCATGCCAGGCAGAGACGCCCTCCGATTCTGCATGAAACATATGCTTAAGCATCGCTGAAATGTGTTGATTCAAACAGGGTACGATTCGATGAGCTAGAAGTTGATAAAGATTTGAGGTGCCATACCAGCAAGTAATAGCTTGAAAAATGAATGCGAAAAAGCAAATCGAGCGGCCAGACTCAGCCGGAATTCCAACCCTACCTTGTTTGCGCTGCCGCCGTGCAACGAAACCTCCATATGTACAATCCTTGCGATGCAGTTGACGAACTCCATCACCTGAGAACAAGCGCGCACCAATTACCAGTTGTCAAGAACGTTGACATCCTTGCGACATCCAAGCGCACAACCACCATTCAAAAAGGCTCTCGAAAACAAACAGCGCAAGAATCCTGGAACAGTCGTCGTTCTTCAAGTCGCACCTGCTCTTGGAGCACTTCTGTCGTCTCCGTGAATTGCCGGATGTCGCAGAAGCCAAAAATAGCGTTGACCTTTCGGCCAGGCACCATGGGGTTCAGGTCCCCGCCATTCTTCATGTTCTCGCCGATGATCTCCGCGCCCGCGTCGCCAAACCCGATGGCCAGCAGCGAGCAGATCTTGCCGATGGACGCCTCCAAGCCGCGCGTCTGGGTAAGCAGAGAAGATATGAGTTGAAGAGCAGCTAAGCGCGGTCTGCTGAAGCATTCCCGCCGTCTCGTAATGAAACTTCAAAGGAAAAAGGCTCCAATAGACAGTCACTTCGGTCTCACCTCTACCTCTGCGCTCGTGCCGTCGATGCCACTCGTTGTAACGAACTGAGTCTGCGAACGACAGCACAAGCTTCCGTCAGTACCGAGATGAAGCAGACACATGAACTTCTGGCTGCTTCGAAGTACTCAGAGAGGTCTCGCTCGGCGCATTCATCATGGACGTATCATTCTGGATAATGAACCGGATCGAGAGCCTAAAAGCTTTCATGGATAGCGCTGGCTAACCCATGCTCCTTGGACACTTGACGATAATGCTCCCGGATGTCACTAGCCTGTCAACAGAAGCTCAACGCATAGTGTGATTCCTTAGGAAGCCGCATGTGATGATGCTCCTCTTACCAGGAGCATAAAAGACTCCAGCATTACCTGCTGCATGAGTGGGTTCTCCGCAATATCCTTGACCCTCTTGATGATTCTCTCCAAGGGTAGGAGGACGATGTTATGAGCGTCCCTGCTGAAGAGCATGGAACCCAAACCGAGAACGAAGCACACAAAAATGGTCCTGCAGGCAGCAGAAGCCGAGAAGTGAGCGCCGTACGGTCGGGTCCTTTGAGTTCAAAATTGCCACGCGAACAACACATTTATCTGCCGGACATGGCGTAATTTTCTGGGAGGATGTGCGCTTTTACACAATAAGTTCCCATTGCTCAACACGGGGCGAAAATTGTTGATAGATGAAGACTCACTGCCAGAATCCCAGGAGGCCCGCCAGAGTGGCATCTTGTTTGGTGTCAAAGTCCGCTTCACTGTTTCGGTACGTGATCAAATGCATCTCGCTGCTGGGCCGCAAATGGGAGATCCGGTACGGATCGTCTAGGACCGTGGTTCCGTTCAATACCTGGGGCCGGAAAGAGGGTGTCAAGAAGGAGATCTCTGCTCAAATTCGAGCGACTCCATTGAGAACTCAAGATCAGCGAATAGGTGAAAATTCAGATGTTTCTAAGACAGAACTAACAGTTACTGAGGTTGGTTGTGTTGCGGCTCACCAGTTTGAGGAGGGGCCTCGTGGTATGACTGTAGACCCCCAGTACCACTTGGAAGGGCACGCTGCTGTTCCTCATGGCCGTAAAGTTGCCGTACAGCGGCAAGAGATCGACGTACATGTCGTGGAGGGTCTGCATAGAATGAGAACCTTCAACAGAAGTGGCCAGCACGAACGGAAGTCGAAGCAAGGCTCCAAAGTAAATTTCATCACACAACCTTCGAAGTTCCTAGAATGGACTCGCGCGGCGCAGCGTGCGACAGGGAGGTCAGCAGAACTGTTGCCTTTGTCTGAAAAGCTTTGCTTTTTCCCTTACCTCAAGGCCCGGCTGCATGAAGTCCGGGATGTGGCCAAAGTGGCCTCCGAAGAAGATGTGGCTGCCGAGGAGCATGAGCAGCACGATGACGATGAGGTGGATCGTGATTTTCTCGGACAGCACGTGGCTCACTCGGCTCTGCTTGGTGTCCAAATCCAGGACGTCCAGATCCGAGGCCTGCGACGGACAAGGGGAAAGCGCCTGGATCTGAGCAGGATGAACCGATGCGAAACGTCGGAGGAGCTGCGAAGAACAGTATGAGCGCAACTCCAAGGGGACTTGTTTCCGTTATATTTTCTCGGGGCCAACGAGCCGGTTTTCCCAGACATCGACGAAGGAAGTGACAGCATTACAACAATTGGAACTCATTGCTGTAAGCTTGTGCTGTCACTTAGTGTTCTATGCAAAACAGAAGAGACACATCAAACAGAATAGCAAGTCAACCTCGTGATGTGTGATGGTAACGGGAGTCTTCTGGAGGGGAAACGGTGCCCGTCTATGAATGGAATTTCAGCAGAAACTCCAAACAACAAAAGCAGCGATCGTCATTGGTTTCTCGCACAATGGAACGCTGGCCAGCTTCGGCTGAAGCATTATCGGGTGCATAGATGCTCACCTTTGCTTTCTCTTTCTGATGTTTGCTTTCCGAGTTTTTGTGAACTGCCTTTTGGACATCCACCAACCGAACGAGCCTGATGATCCGTATGATCCGACCTGCCTTCGCTCCCGCCCTCGAGGCACGTCCAGCTCTCAAGATCGTCGCAGGATTATCTGGCAAGTGCAACAGATAATCTTAGTCGGTGCGAAGTGTTACGAATAAAGAGTCAAGTGAGGCATGTCCTCGGAGCCGAAGAATTCCGCGAGGAAACCGCAATCGCAACAAGATACTGCCTCGGGACTGACTGTATACTTACGGTCCCCCTCTGATTCCAACATGATCAGAACCTGCTGCGAGTCACATCGACTGGAAGAGACAGCAAGCAGGCGAGTGGAACAGAATGCTCTGGGCCCTGTTCACTCACGCGACTCACTTGCGCCATACCCCAGGATCGCGTCCGCCACCGCCGGGATGTCCAGAAGTAAGGACGCGGTTGAGATGAGGTCCAGGAAGAAGTAGAACCCCAGGAAGTATCGGGGGACGACGATGGAGTTCATCACTGCGATGGAGCAAGGCGGGGATGTTTGGTGAGTGCTTCTTGCGGTGCACAAAATTCGTGCGTTGAAACATTTCGTGCTTGCGAGCGCGGAAAGTGGTCCCAAACAAGACCGACATGGTGGCAGTTCTGAAGACCGAGGTAGAAAGTTCACCGAGAAATAAAGGCCGAGATTTGTGGGCCGTACGCTCGGGGTAGCTTTGCGAAAATTGGCAACCGTAGCTTGGCAAACTCGCCACGAACAAGGGTCAAGAGAGCTGGCAGACGGAGGACCTGGTGGATTTCGTCAAAGTCTTTGAAAAGTAGGTCTAAGCAGGAGGGCATTCGATGGGGAGCAGATTCGATGCCTGCACTCGAGTCGATCTATCAAAATATGAACAATTGTTGTAGCTGCCAGCCTATGAAAGGGACCCAATGCGTGTGAAAGCGGACGGTGCGGTGTTCAGCGGCGGGTCCAGGGCATTTCAAACGTAAGAAGACGGAGCCCTTTCTATTTTGCAGTGACAGTTGCTGCCTGTTCCGACAAACAAACAAGACTAGGTTCCAATTGAACCATGAATTATGTGAGCAGGTGGTGGAAGGTCGATCCACTCACTTATCTCAAGGGAGAACATCACCAGGCAGAAGCCCGTCATCCAGTGAAAAGCTGCATCAGAACTCTTAGGGCAGACCCAAGCGCGGAAGTCGTCCCCCAGCAGAGAGTACACCGTCAATATGGTAAAGAACACCACCAAGATTGCGCTATCGGAGATGCGATAGATGTACTGATGAAGCCAGGACCTTCTAGCCTGCACGACCGAAAGATTGTCATCTTGAACTGCGCGTGTTGACGTTCAAACAGAAAGCATTGTGTTCAATATGGCCAGGCGATCGGCCCCGCTCGTGCAAGCTGACACCGCCTGGGACTCGTAAGCAAGCACTGTCCGCTTTAATACATGCGAATGATAGGCATGAAACACAGCGTGGGCACACTTTGCAAAAGTTGTGGCTTTGGGTTTGAGGTCCTGACCTCAGCACTTGGCTCAGTCCGCTTGCTTTTCCGCTTGGAGTCTGAAACCGCAGATTGGAATTCGGGGATACCTGCCAAGAGGGATAGTGAATGAAGATAGTCAGCATATGTTTTTGTGAAACTGGCACGATAAGCTGATTGCATCTTCTGCGATAAAGCACCGTTGATACGCTGTCATGGCTAAGCTGCACCACCGAGAATGAAAGCAATGAAGCTAATCGGCAAGGCACGCTTCGACTTATATGTCAGGATAGTGAAGCTCAATCGACGTTATTCCCTCGCCAAGTGGACCTCTTGTAGGGAGAGCGAACACATACCTTGCAGAATTTTTCGGTTGTGAGTTTTCGCCCTTGTCATGTTGCGCATCATCACCTGGAAGGCGAGATTCTCCAGTATGACACTGATCAAATGTGAATGACCCTTGTCGCATGACAGCAAGTAAACAGGAAGTGAGCTGGTAACTCGTGATGTCAACGACTTTTGCCGCAATCGCAGTCTGCCAGTGCTCAGGACCATAACCTGCTGATTCATGACTTCAAGAGTACAGCTGAAGCTTACCACTCCTTGCGGACTCGCCGCTTTGAACTTTTCCAAGCTGAATTTCTTCACTTGCATCCTGCGCTTCTCTGCTGGCGAGTCCGGGGAATAGGGGTCCGTACCCTGGCCGTCTTCTGCAGATTTGATAACGTGGAGAAAAGATTTGATCTTGACGTCTTTGTTGTTTCAGAACAAGCAACTGAGTACCTCCAATCGACGTGCAATAAATGTCCTTCTCGATTGCCTGCAGAGGAACGGGCCTGAAAAGAAACATTCCGACGACAAGCGACGTTGGGAGCGTATGATCAATGCCTCCGTTTTTCTGTTGGGCCCAGCCTCTTGGCGAGAAAAGGTCGTACCTTCCTCGTCAGTAAGTGCTGTGGGGTTGACTCTGCTTGGAAGGGAGGTAAACCTCCATATTTTGGACGGCCTCACAAGCTCCGTCTTTTGTACCGGGCTTAATTGAACTAGATCATCCTGAGGATGGGCCCCTGCATGGTCACGTTTGTGCTCCGACTCCTTCCCCAATGGAGGCTGCACTGTCCTATCGCCCAACCTTTCTCCGTTTTCTCCACTTTCAACCACCTGCAGCGGCCTGAGATTTGCATCCCCAATCGCAGCGATCTTAGGAAGCACGAGTCTGCCAGGGCGAGAGCTGGGACTGCTTCCAGCTGCAGGATACAAAGACAGAAGTTTAGCATTGCAAAGGCGTCCGGTATTGAGGAGTATTTGAGAGTAGAGCAGATTTAGAAACCAAGTTGCTTATGCACAGTAGATCTTTGCTGATTGCAGAGCTGAGTGTGTGGCAATGAACCATGTATTACAAAAATGGTCGAGGTCCTGTGACAGGAGTCTCTGGTTTGGCAGCTAAAATGGATGCAGATTACAATAAGCTTTCAAGGTCCATGTTATCCTCTGTGATTGAAGAGGGCCACAATGTATCCGCCTGCAGTTGACGGGCCATTGGTGAATGAAATGGACATGTAACTCATCAGCATCTCTGGAAAAGCTTTGAGATTTGTGTAGAGAGTGCAAGCTTCAGCTATTTCAAAGTTTACCCCAGAGCTTGCTTCAGAATCTCAAAGTTAGAAACGTGATCAGCACTATGCTAAGGTCTGCAAGCAGATGTACAACCACTTGAAGAAACCTACCGTCCGATTGGGGTTCCAGGGCAAAAGGATGGGCAGTGCCTCCTCCCTCTTGAAGCGGTTGCACTGAAGCTGGAGGGTGGTCTCGTGCAACCGCTGGGTGCTGCATCTTGCTGGGAAGCTCTGGCCCGCTCCTTTTGCCGTCATCATCACCATGTAAAGTAGGGTCTTTTTCTTGCCTGGGACTTGTTGATGGGGTGTCGAATCCTCGCACTGATTTATTCTGAGGGGTTGAAACTGGAGAAAGTGAAGGCAGAGCCCTAGAGCTTCCAAATACCTGACCATTTATGGTCGTCCGGAATAACTCAGAGGGTTGATCCCTCAAAGTGCTGCTGGCCCGCACACTTGCGGCAATATCATCAGCACCCTGCTGGATCGATGGCATCATGCCAGCTCGGCGCTTGGATGAGAACTTTGTAGCATCAACAAGTCAAACCTACATAGCTGCATGAAGTTCGCTCTTCTGCTTGCAACAGAGCCCTATGCTCCTTTGCTCTCAGATGGCTCAACATTGTGCGTCTGGAAATGTGCAGCCACGAGCCAACTATTCAACTCAAATGCCCTGCCTAACGACAATCCCAGCTTTGTGCTGTGACTAATGATCCAATGATGCCACTGCACACACTCTTAGCATGCCAGCAATGCTATTCAGAAGCTACAGGAAGTAGATTGCTGCTTAATACTTGAAGCTAGTGGGGATGCTGACTGCCAGTAACGAAGATTACCACTGCAATCTCCTGTCCATTGGTTCAAAGCTCCATATATCGCTTGATGAGCTATACCAACTGCTTGAAAAGGTCACTTCAGAAGCTGGATCTGCCGCTCCCGGTAGACCTTGTCTCTCCTCCCCCATATCGGCTCAGTGTTTCTCCCAGTAAGTTGTCAAAGCTGAATCCACATGGTAAGTGGCAGCTCAGTTACTTACATCTAGAGATTATCGGGTAGAAATATACACACGTGATGCTTTGAGTTCAGCAGTCATATACCGCCAAAGGAAGGCAAGCTTGCCGCCAGCTCCTTCTAAACACGTAAGTCGTCAGCTGGCACAAGTTGCCAGCTCCTACGAAAGCTGCAACGGTGGGTATGAAACAAGAAAAGGAACAGGAAGACGCGGTGAAGTGCCAGCGGTGGGGTCGAATAAACTTTTCTTCTGAGGCAGCATCCAGACTACGGTATCTTAGGTAGTGTAGGTATCCACCTTATCCAGATTCACAATGGTGCCATCATTGCGAAAAGTGCGAGGAAGCAACCGTCACTACAGTAGCTCGTCATAGCGGGCTAGTAATCAAACCAAGGCCAATGATTTTGGACTCAGGATTCTGATTCCTGACCGTGCATCTGAAGCGCTTTGTGATGCTGCTTCTGCGTCAGCATTTTGGCGACGATGCACATTAGATACTGCACAGGCAGGCAGTACAAATCTACACCAGATTGGTATTACCGTAGTCCAAGGTAATGATTCCGAATAAATAAATAATTATCTGCATTCGGAAAGTCAGAAATTCAAATTTCCCGTTCGGAAAGTGGAGATTCGGAAAGGTAATATAATTCTGGAATGTCCCTAGGAAGCCCCAAAATGGCCAAAATACCCCTGAAAATCATCTTCCAAGTGAGAACATAGGGCATTCGGATTGTTGTCGGATTCAGCATAAATAAATCCGCTTTCCTGGTCGGATTGTCGGAAAATAATTCGAAATTAAAATCGTTCGGAATCATCACGTTGGACTACGGTAGTACGGTCCTTACTACCGTATCTGCATTTGATTTCGGCAGGTTCGACGCCGATTGATTACTTATGAAACTTTCAATCCTTTCGGCAGACCTAGCGTTACCTGCTAAAAATATCCGTTATCGACCTTTATCGCTTCAACATATTTTCCAGCGAATTTCGGCAGGGCAGGTAATTATTTTTTTGGCCGAAATCAACTGCAGGACGGTCCGGTAGGTGATTACTAATCCTCGTACGCATCCTCATCTCCCATGTGAAGCGGCCTAAGTAACACACCCTGGCCGCGTGCAATGTTTGCCAGCGCGCGCGGGCCGATTGATCTGGAGCTTAAACCAGTGGATCATACTTAGGGCCTCAGTTCTGAGCCGTTGATGACACTTTTCATCAAACATCCGCGCGCGTAAATTCAGGTAGTAGCTGGCTCAGTTCGGCCGGGCTCAGACCAGTGTACCTATCCGGACTCGGAGCCCTCCTTGACCTACCAACATGGAGTTCATATCACTACTTCAGACTGCGTACATACTGGAGTGAAAGTCTGCCTAAGTAGCGTCACAGTTTGGGGGACTTCATCAGACTTCATCGTTGAGTACCCTACTGGAACAAGCTCGGATTAGAAGCTCTCCAGGCTGTCCACGGTCGGCGGCAAGCCTAGTAACATAGTAAGCGCTCTATTGATTACCGAAAAGCTAGTAGTAGAGGTCGAAAAGTCAGTCGGGCATAAGCACATGGATGTATCCTTCAGCAGCATGGCGTCATCATTGCGCCATTTTGGAGACGGCCAGCTTTGAAAAGCACTGAGGCGCCGCACTGAGTAGAATGAGAGGTGGTTCTAACTGGATTCCATTGGCCCTTTGCACTCGAATAGCAGGAGGCAGGCTCGTTGCAGAGAAATCAGAAGACGGCCACGTTCTGGGAGGAAGCATGCCGCATTACATGAACAGCTTCTGACCACGAGTGCGAATCCTTTGAATGCTATGAGAAGGAGATATACAAGAAGGTATACGTCTACATATACGTAGATCGCATTCGGCTTGAGTTGGACTTTTAGGAATGAGAGCAGCCGAAGATAGCCACCGCGCACTCAGCGTGTTTATTCTGGTGGTAGTCAACAGGGGTAGACACTGCTCCCCTGACTTAAATCTTCATGGTCCGAATCGACTTTCGGAGTGGCTGCCTCCAGATCTTTCCCGGCACACAAGACGATAACTCCACCAGAGATCAGGACAGCCCAAGTGCTTACATTGAGATTAGAGACGGTGCACTTTACATCACTCCCAACATGGGGAACAACATCAGCGTGCGGGAGATTGTGGCGGCAGATGCAAGCCGGGACAGAGACTATGGCCACCCCGCCAGGCAAAAGGCCGTCACAGAAGGGCGGAGGGAAGCAAAGAGGGAGTCGGAGCAGCGGCTCAATGCCCAACCGAACGACTTCCCTGCCATTGAGGCTGCTCTGTCGTCTAACATTCTCTTTACCAGGCTGGCAAACACGCAGCAGCTACAGGTGAGTTCCAGCTTCTGAGTGAAACTCTGGTTTTAGGCTGGTCACACACAACCAGACAGTGGGTGGAAGTGGATGCGCGCACACTAGTTGCAGTGCTGGTGCTGTAGCAAACCCTGCTTCTTGGAACCAAGCTGCCCCCTTCCAACCGAACCGTTCCACCGAGCATGCAAGCTGATTATGACCCCAGGGGAGGTAGGAAAGATTGAGACAACGATTCCGTCATTGTGCAGGTGCTGAGTCGCATGTACGAGAAAGAAGTGAAACGAGGTGAGGTCCTCATCCGGGAGGGCGACTCAGGAGCTGATGCAGATGAGATGTACGTTGTCAAAAGCGGGCACTTCGAGGTGAGCTGATACACTGAGCTTAGGCAGCACGGTTGACACGCAGTGAAGGCAGCCCCTAAGGGCTCAAAGCCTCTTCTGTTATCTAAAACTGAGGGCTATAAGCAGCATTGGAGTGATAACCAAAGGCTGCTTGACTGATGCTTCTGAAACACGTTGGGAGCGACACATTCTCCAACAGACCGTGTATTTCTGACATGTAGTGGTGCTCAACCGGCCCCTGTGAAGCGCACAGGAAACGGGCCGAAAAGCTTTCCAGCGAAGTCGCACTTGATGTTTCAAAGTGACGCTAGTCTTTGGCCGCTTCTGTGAATTGAGCAACCGGGAATCTGAATACTAACGCATCCGAAATTGGATCGGACGAAGTCACCAGAGCTAGACTCCAAACAATACACGAGAACACACAGACAACGGTAATCCATTAGAGACTTGGAGCGTAGCCGTTTCGACGCCCGTGCTGCACCCCTCACCTCTCTCTTCCGTGCCCTAGATCACCAAGGACGTGCACGGCGTCCAGAAGCGCATCGTCACAAAGGGCCCCGGGGACTACTTCGGCGAGCTGGCGCTCATGTACAGCACGCCGCGCGCGGCTACGCTTACGGCGCTGAGCAACGCCGTGGTGTGGGTGCTGGACCGCAGCACGCTGCGCCAGATCCTGCGCGAGGTGTCGGCCGCGCAGGTGGAGGAGATCATGCGCTTCCTGGACAGCGTGCCCGTGCTCGCAACGCTCAGCCGCGCCGAGAGGCTGCGCCTGGCGGACGCCATGGAAGAGGTGGGCAGCAGGGGCTGGCTAGCTAGGGACTCCGGAAAAGATCAGATCGTTTCGCTTACCTGGATAGTTCTTTTGGCGTCGGAGCCCTGTTTCTCCCTCTCCCGACCTTCTCCAGAAGAAATTCGAGGACAGATAGGATGTTATTCATAGGAAAATGAGGCTCCTCAACGTGAATAGGCAGGTCAGCAATGAGCCCAGGACGGTCGATATGCTTCAAGGCGCCCCAACGCGAGTACAAAGAATATGCCAGGCTTTCTTGGGGTTGTTCGAAGACTTTCCCATCAAGCCGTTAGACTGGTTGTAAAAGGTTCGTGTCCGTGCAGATCTCGTACAACCCCGGCGAGACGGTCATCCGCGAAGGCGAGAAGGGCGAGCTGTTCTACATCATTAAAGCAGGAGAGGGCATCGTCACAGTGAGCAAGAGCTCCGCGTCCGGCCAAAGAGGGGCCCAGCAAAAGGTACGTAGCTCCGCAATAGAGAGTGCGCAGCTCCTCAAAAAGCGTTTCAATCGCAGCCCAGAGCTGCGCTATTGAAAGACAGCACCTGCCCCCAACGCAACCTACCTCGCCTCCGTTGACGTGCATGCGAGGAGCGTTTACGTCAGATGCTCAATGACTTCGAGGCGCGTTTTTGAGGTCGACTCTGCTGATTCCATTAACGGGGAAACATTTGACCGGGGTGAAAATGAGAATCGGTGCTATGGGTGGCTTCAGGTGAACCACCTGTACAAGGCGGACTTCTTTGGCGAGCGCGCGCTCTTCACGTCGGAGCCGCGCACGGCCACCGTGATCGCGTCCGGGACGTCGCCCCTCACCTGCCTGACGCTCAAGCGCAACGTGTTTGTCGAGGTCCTGGGCCCTCTCCAGAATCTCATGGTCCGGGAGAAGATCGACATGGTGAGCGCGCGAGCAAGCTCCGTCCCCGCGATTCAGCAGAAACGAGAACGAGACGGACAGAGTCGAAGGAGCAACGCGTTTGTCTTGTGGCGACCACTTCCCAGCTTGATGTCGCTTGATGTCGCCCACGTCAAATCTTGCTTCGCTACATAGTCAAAGCGGAAACAAGCTCGTTGCGGACATTCAAAAAGATGCAGGCCTCAATGATGGTTCCTTCAGGTATGTCGTCAACTTTGACATTTCTCGCCCGGCAGGAAAGCATCCAACACAATCCTGGCTCCGGTCTCACCTCTGGACTGAATTTCACGGATCCGCTTTCTTTATGCAGGACCCGTCCCGGTCGGAGAAGCTGGAGGAGCCCGCCAAGGCGGACGCGCACCAGGTGTCGCTGAAGCACCTGGTGGAGCTGGAGAAGCTGGGCAGCGGGGCGTTCAGCGTGGTGAGAGCGCGCTCGCGGCCGCGTAAACCTTGGCGCTGACTGTAGGGGTTCCAAGCAAGAATCCTTTTTTCTGCGGTCACTTTTAAGGGGTGTCGCAGCTTCTCGAGCACGTCTCAAAAGACGTGCTCGAGGAGAAACAAGTCCGTGCTGGAGCTGCTCGAAGCATGTCTCACGTATACTGGATCTTCTAGGGGTTCGCTCAAGCAGCCTTGCGAGACGTTTTACCGCGCTCGAAAGGGACGGCGGAATCTGCAGAAAAATAAGGGCGTCACAAGTCGCAAAACGGTCCATTTCCATGAGCTAGTGACAAAGCCCGAGATCTTACTCGACTGAACAGACTACACGTTAGCGCCCCTCTCACTTACAACCTGGCGGCTGTGCCTCTGCTTGCGCCCAGGTGTACCACGTGCGGGACGAGAGCACGCGGCGCGAGTACGCGTTGAAGAAGATGCGCAAGACGGACCTGATGGGCTGCAGCGAGCACGTCTTCTGCGAGCAGCACATCACGCGCCTCATCGAGAACCCCTTCGTCGTCAAGCAGTACGCCTCCTTCCAGGACTCCAAATACCTGTGAGCGCGCCGCGCCGCCTGCACACCCCGATCGAATCGGTGAAGAGCTGGACCCGAGACAAACAAACCCTTGTGGAGAGAGATGTAGCTCTCTGTATTCTCAAAGTACAGCATGAATGTTCAGACCGGGGCATGACTTGATTGACTCTAGCCAGACCCTGATTGAGACACGGACCAACTTCGGACGGCTGTTGCTCTTTATGGTCAACCGTTCAAGCCAACTCACTTAATCAGTCTACAGCAAAGCCTTAGAGAAAGAGGAGAGCCAACGTCGTTTGAACCTTTATCCTTCCGTTCCGTGCAGCTACTTGCTCTTGGATTATTTGCCGGGCGGTGACCTGATGGACTCTCTCGTGGCCTGCGCGGAGGTCAAGTCAATGCGGTTGGGCATGTGGTGCCTTAGCCCCAAAGTGGACGTCTTGCAGGTAAGCCCCCACAGCATAAACACTTTCCTGTCCGCTTCGTTACTCGCAAATGCCACTTGCCCAATCGCTGCTGCGCCGTAACGAAGCCAGCGGTACTCGGCCTGCCGAGGAAGTGTCATAAATGTCGTTCGTGGTTCGCTGAGACCCGATCAGTGTCCTGCTTTTCCGCCTCCCGTAAATAATGCGCGTGCCTGCGAGAGAAGAGGCTGTGTTGGCCTACTCAACGAGTCGATAGCTGACTGATCTTAATCTGCGGGTGGCAGGGCATGAAAGAGCCGATGTGCCGCTTCTACACGGCGTGCCTGGTGCTGGCCCTGGAGTACCTGCATGGCAACAGCATCGTCTACCGGGACCTCAAGCCCGAGAACGTCATGCTGGACCGAGACGGCTACATCAAGCTCGGCGACTTCGGCTTTGCCAAGGTGAGGCCCCTTGTTTACGAGCGCCGCCGGAGGGCTCCCCGTTTGGTACTTCGTATAATTCGAGGCTTGGTTTTCCCATTGCAGGCAAAGCTTGAAAACGTGGACCGCAAATTGAATCAATCGACGGAGCTCCGTAAATGGGCACTTAAAAGGTTCCTCAGAATGACGCGTCACCTCTCTGCTTGCTGCTTTCTTTCCCGCACGTGCCAAGGAAGTGTTGATTGATGACGTCCGTCTCCGTGCCTCGCTGCAGGTGCTGTCTGGCATTGACCGCACCTACACGTTTTGCGGGACGCCCGGCTACGTTGCGCCGGAGAGCGTGCTGGCGAGAGGCTACGGCACGGGTGTTGACTGGTGAGCCGTCCAGCTGTCCCGCTCCAATCCCTCCGACTTAAATCCGTGATCTTCCCCCAAACTTCTTTTCCGGAAGGGCAGTCCTCGACACACCCCTTGTCTTCTCCCCGCTTCGCCTTCGTCCGCTTCTTCAGGCAGACTTGCAAACGCGACATTTAAATCTTTTTCAAGCTTACGAGATGGTTCGAGCTCAGACGGCTTTCGGGACCACTGTGCTCTTGTGCAACTCATTGCCCAACATAGTGCACCCACCTTTACCGACTCTCCTCAAACGATTACGCACGGAACTCTCAAACTTCCTCAACACCTCGAACCTCAGGTGGGGCCTGGGCGTGGTACTGTACGTGTTGCTGACGGGCCGTCAGCCGTTCGGCGAGCCGACGGAGGATCCGATGGTGGTGATGAACCGCATCGTGGATCCGACGTACGAGGTGTACTACCCCAGCTTCATGTCCAAGAACGCCATCAACCTCATCCAGCGCTTCCTCGAGAGGAAGCCCGCCAAGCGCCTCGGCAACCTCAGCGTGAGCGCCGCTCCCCCCCTCTGCGGCTAAACGCGCAGCGGGCGCTCCCTGTCTCGCTCATATCGAGTCTTTAGATTGTGAATGCAGATCTGAAGCGCGGTGATTGTGGCTTCAAACCTCGGAATCTTTGCTGAGGGCTTTCCCTTCGTTGCGCTTCGCGCACCGTTCCCCAAATTCGAAAGTTCCTTGATTCTCAGAAAGAGCCCTCAAAAGTAGCAGACTAACGCAAACCAACAGCAAAAACAAAGCTTTCCGATTGTTCGCTTGCCAGGGCCGCGCCAAGGATGTGAAGGAGCACCCCTGGTTCGCGGGGCTGGACTGGAACGCGCTCGCGCGGAAGCAGCTGAAGCCGCCGCCCGCGGCCATCCGGGACCGCAAGTCGCACGGCGACGTGGACGACCACCTGGACGATATTGAGGACGACCCGCAGCAGCTGCGGGAAGCGCAGAGAATATTCCGAGACTTTTGAGCAGCTGCGAAGCTGTGTACTGTATATACGTGGATTCGCCGTTCAATTCGGACCGCCGGCTGTGGTTCGCTGGTCTTTGCAAATGTTGTACGTTTGCCATTGAGCCGCCAATTGGGTTTCACGTCCATGAGACGCTGAGCCGAGAGCAAGTGAGATAAGCAAGATACAGATAATTGAAGAGTTATGAAGCTCTTCATTGATTGTTTCATAGACGGTTCACTTTTGGTGGCTTCGATACGGAGAATAAAGGGCCGCCGAGAAGTCTAGGTACAATCTGCAGGATTACATTAACTCTGCAGTTTCTTGATTAGTTCGACTCCGACGGGTTGAAACAGATTCACCATAGTTCAGGACATGATGATGTTCGGGCACGGGGCGGCCTGCCGCAGCCAAATCTGAAGTATTGGAGTATCAACATGATCAGGCCTCGAGATGGCCTTACTGTGTCATCAAGTCCAAGCGTTTGCACCAAGGTGACTGCCAGCCACCATGATGGTGCACCCCGGCCGGCCCCGGCGGCCGGTTCAAGAAACTTGACGTACAACATCCATGACGGTCACTTTGGATGGTCGACCTAGATGCTGGCCATCTATAACATATGGGCGGCGAGTCTCCAACCACTTTATTGATGCGACCCATCCAAGCATCGACATGCTGAATCATTGCTACTCGGAAGTTGTCAATAAAGTACATCTGTTATTCAGTGATGTATGAACATGTCCGTTTTGGTGCGTGCAATTATTGTGGTCCGACACTATGCGCTTGCATTCTTGCATGCAACGGTCGGAATGTACCGTACGCGATATCAAGTACCTAAATTAGAAGGTTAATTGCACCGATATTATGATGTACATTCTATTAGTGAACACAATCACATGATATGAGCATGATATACGAGCTTGGCCATGCCGCGTCCCGCCAGCCAAAACCGGCGCACGACCGAGCTCCTAACCTATTTGTGGCATGAGCCTTTACATTCTCAACGTTCAAGGCTGCTTCACAGCCAGCGCAAACGCGCTGGCACGCGCCGACCCATACTTTGTATGATAGATCCTTCTCCTGATAGTCATACATGACGGTATACATCACCGGCCCCTACTGTTTGACAGTGCTTTAAGATTAGTCTATTAAAGCCTGATTGACTACTTGTTTGAGCTGGCGGCCTTCAAATAGCATAATTGCCGTACCCCGCGCTATATTGATCCAAAGGATTGGCACATTTGTTCACGCCCGGCGGCGGCCACCTATGAATACGAATTGCAGAGCCGGAAGCATTCTCACCACTTGCTTTGTATAACGTGCGCGGTTTAAATTGCTCATCAACTTCCTGCGCTTAGTATAGTGAGTTGACACAGTGCGAGATCATCACATGCACACGTTTCAATCATCGACATCAAGACGGGTGAGGCAATCGTGCACACCAACTCAAATGGCGCTCGACCAGTCAGAACCTTGATTGACTCAGCACAATTGAGATGCTCGGGACGCATTCGGGTCAAATCAGGATGGCAGCTACAACCACGGTTTTGCTCGTTGATACTCGAGGACGGCCCACACTAAGTGTCTGAAGGAGAACTCCGGCCAAAGCGCTTGACAAAATGCCAAGCACGCCGAAGACGACTGCCACAACAAGAAGTTGCTAAGCCTGGCTTCCCCAGATGTCCGCACAAGAAGGTCGACAGGGGGACATCCTGACGTGTAAAGGTGCTCCTCGATGGCCGCCTGGAAGGGTCGCCCGCTGCTTTGGGCATGAGGGTCCTGGTTAACCTCCGAAGAGGGCCGACTTCCTGCTACGAAATCATCTCGGACACATTCGACCGCGTGCCGAATCTCGTCCCTGGAGGTGTATGCGAGTGCGAGGTTGAGGCGGGAGCGCGAATGGTGGCCAGTCACTGCTTCCGCATGCTTGCCGGCCCGCTGGACAGCTTCCGGGAGGAGGCTCGTGTTCCCAACCAGCTTCACACAGATCCCATACTGCACGTGAAAGACGAGTGCCACGAAGTTGCAAAATTGAAGCAGTGTTTTAGGCAGCCCTTTGCATGGAAAGTAAAGATTATGATTGGTAGCCGTATGCCAGAACAGGACCAGAAAACGTTGAGACAACAATCCGGCAAATGGGAGGATGATAAGGCAGCAGATTTGGGCTCTAGCAAAATAAAAACGGGCGGACTTAAAAATGGATGAATTGACGTGTTCAGGCAAGCCACCCACTTTGTTGATGAGCTCTGTTTCTTTGGCCAGAGCAATCAGCTTTTCCTCCACTAGATCCATAAGGGCAGACACCTGCAGGGAGGAAACATCTGAAGTTTGGACAGGCGTTTGAGGGTATGAGGTCACCCGACTTGCACAAATGAAACGACTTACAGCTCGAAGCTCAATGCTAAGCGGGATAGCAAATGGGCTGGCCGCTTGAAGAGCAGAACACAAACCATCCCAGGTTCGGCAGTTGCACTGACTCTGTTGTGTGACAATCCAGATATCATCGAGCGAACTTGCCACAAAGAGATGCTTGCTGGAAAAGCTTGCAGCGGAATCTTCCCAACAACCATTCGCTTACCTCCTCTGGAGACCTCTTGAAGTTGTCAATGCTAAAGGCGTACACTGTAATCACTTCCACCCCCAGGTTCAAGCACGCTTCTAAGGTCTTCATCAAGCTGGCATACCCGCTCACGTGGCCCGAACGCCGGTCAATCTTGCTGCGGTCTGCATACCTCCGGTTTCCGTCCATGATGAAGGCAACATGCCTTGGAATCGGGCCCGCTTTCAACACTTCAGTAGCAAAGGCAGTCAGATAGGATTCTACTGTAGCGAAGACTTTTGAGAAAAGCGCGGCGGGCAGTTGCACAACTGAAGGGTGATCCATCCTAAGGATCTGCATTACTCAAACTGCGTGTGGGTTGTGACAGAGCTCCTTCGCGACCTTGGCAGGAGGTTAGGGCTTTAAAGTGGTTACTTGGGGGTGATGTGCTAGATAGCAGGGCAAAAGTAGACTTGTGAATTTGAGTATTCTTAGGCTGGTTTCTCATATGTAATCTTGTCCAAAAAGTCCTTCACTTTGTTTTGCAGCATGTCTGCCACATGGGGCTGCACAAAGAGGTGCGTGTCGTCCAGGTCGTAGATGATAAACTTTTGAGCGTTTGGCAGCTGGTCGTTAATGCTGACAATGAACTGCTTCATTGGGATGTCGCTGCAAGAAGACATGCGTGGCTCAGCTGCACGATGCAGACAAAGAGAAAGATGGCCGCTAGTAAAGCGAGACACACAGGATTCGCAAGCTTTTGTCAGGAGCGACTGAAAGAGTGAGTGCGCGATTACACGTGGTGAGCTGTTCCAAGATCTGCAACCTCTTCTCGTGGCATCGCAAAATACCATCATAAGAAGATAATGATAGAAACTTAAGCTTGCCCACATGATTACTCGATTACAAGCTTTAGAAGTCCCTTCTACAAAGATAAGAAGCGGTGCAAATTTAGTTTAGGTGGTGGTAGCTTGCTATGCACAATTGGAGCAGCTTGTGACTTCTTAAGCGACAGGATCCATGATTCAGCCTCTCAACAAGCATTGATGCTCCAACTCAAGCAAATCATGAGAAGGCTGCAGTACTCACCACTCAATTAGAATGCCCTTCAAAGCATTGACCATGTTGCCAGCAGATCCTCCAGGAGGTTTTTGCAATGGAGACCCGCATACATCTACAAGGACTGCACAAGCGCAACACACCTCGGGGTGGCAACTCCCAGTTTTAAAACATGGTATCTGCGAACTAAAACAAGGGATTTGGCTGTTTTGCAATTTTAAACAGTGTTTTAAAACGTTTTAAAACTGTTTTAAAACGCTGCGAATAGCCTGTTTTGTATGTTTTTTCAAGTTTTTATAGTGGCTATTGACTTGTTACGACCTCCTATGTAACTGAAAAGCAAAAAATAATATATTCGTATGCCAGAAAGGGCCCTAATATATTGAAATATGCCGCTCGCGCTGTTTTGAAAGCAGATTTTGGCGTTTTAAAACGTTTTACTGTTTTGTTTGTTTTATAAAACGGGCTATTTCAGAGATCGCCCAACACGCAGATACATGTTTTAAGATTTTGGCGTTTTAAAACGTTTTGAGACCGTTTTACTTATATGAGGGGGGGTGCAAATTTCAAAACAATAAGTGATTTAGAATCTACGGACAAAGGGCTACACGATGGTATGAAATAAAACGTTGAATATATATGTTTTCGATCGTTTTGTCCAAAAGGCAACAAAAAAACACTAATTGTTTTAAAACTACAAATTGCCACCCCGAGCAAAACACACAGCAATTGTACCGTAGCTCTTCCCAGATCTACAATTGATCAGCAATGTGACACAATATGAACATGGTTGGCCGTCGATGCGACGGCAAGGGCTTGCCTCTTCCTTGATTTCCAACGTAATCAACGGTTGATAATCGCAGTTGGTATCGACTGGCCATATCTCTTTCAACGGTGTAGATGTCTTGGTCGTGAAACCAGCCAACCGAGCAAGCGCGAAACTTCGGCGTCGAACATCGCGGACATGCACGAAGCGCGCTTCCGCGACTTGCACCATGCACCGGTCGAGCCGATGTGTTCGATTCGTAAGGTGCAACTGCGCCGCACGCGGGGCCCCAGTCCAAAAAATGTCGCACCGTTATTGGTCCAGAATTCCAGGCAATACCGTACGTTTTATCGTCGAAACGGGCCAACCCAAGCACGTCGAACGGCGGGCCCGCGCCGCGGCGTCGTACAGTGCCCAAATGATCGATCCCTATGGTTCCCCTCTTCCTAAGAGGAAGAGGCAAGCCAATATATCGCCAGCTCCCTAGAACGCTAGAACCCTAAAATCAGTCTCTCTGCCTCCGCATTCCGCCTTCAAGAATTTTGATAGCGGATTTCGCGTTTTCCGTCCACTGATATCCTTGTAGTCCTAGGTACCAGAATTGTGAGTCGTGAGTCGTGACTCACGGTCGGACCAGTGACTCGTACTCGGTGCCACGTGGTAAGCTTTCAAGCATGGCCCCCCGATACGGTACGTGACGGGCACAACGGAATCGGGACCGCATTCACATTTTGAATCTCGGTCGACGAATGTGTCCAGGCCCCAATTTCAAGTTCGGCACTGGGGTTTGAAAGCGACGGATCGGAAAAAAACGGAAGTGTAGATATCTTCGGAGCTGACTCTGGATGACGAGCGCAGAATATCGACTAAGCGTACCGAACCGCGTCGAACGTTGAAACTGCTCTCGTGCTGTTGCGACATGGCAAGAACATAGGAATCTGCCACGTGTAAGGAATGACGGTCGTCGATATCGGTTCCAAGATTTACGGCCGTACACTGTCGAAGACTTTTATTATATAGATTTGGAAGGTTCCGTAAAGGTACGCGCTCTTTTTAGCCCAGTGGGCAAAGAGTTTGGTCGGACCGTCACGGTCGGCCGGGCTCGAGCGAGTCAGGGGTTCTAGCAGGATTTT